TGATACAGTAGTTATGGATAACAGCAAATACAACCTTAACCTGATCACATTGGGATTTTTTCAAGGATTCAATGGAGGTGGGCAATGTGTGTCCCTCAGGATGTTGTTGGACTATATTCACCAAACCCAGATGCAGCGAAATCTTCTTTGACGATTATCGTGACCTGAATTCAATTTCACTACATTTTCTTAAACCTTCATCTCCATAGGTGATAACTTGTGGCCAAGTATGATTATAGAGTCTTGAACGAGGCTCTGTCTTTCGCAATGAGGACTTAGATTTCCAGATGGAAGGTGGTCACAACAAGGGTTTAGTGTATGTTTCTTCCTCCTGGCACGTTTCTCCCTTTCAGCCTCCATCTGTGCCTCTTCAAAATCTGTAGCAATTTTGGTAACAGCCGATCACCTGAGGATCAGGGCTTCCCAGTTCTCGGTGTTTATTTCACAATTTTTTAAGGTTAGCTTTAAGCCCATCCTTAAATCTCTTTTGCTTTCCACTGACATTCTGTTTTCCATTCTCGAGCTGAGAGTAAAATAACTGTTTTGGGAGACAGTGGTTGGGCATTTAGACAACATGGCTGGTTCAGCGAAGTTGATAGTGCTGGTGGTCTTTGTATTACAAAAAAATTGAGATGGTTTGAAACAATGTTGTAATTGTCTTATGTCATTTTTAAATAATTATGGTTTAATTGCTTTTTAATTTTTGTAATTATGTTTTGGCTATCTTTTTCAAATCATTATATGTCTTGAATCCCATTTTGGGGAAAAGGCTGGATTGAAATTCAATAAATTGATAGATTAAATAAAGTAAATATGCAAGTAGTTTACCTTCATGGACTCATGAAGGTAAAAAAAAAATCTTTCCTTGCAGTAACTTTTAAAAATGATAGTTATGTATATAACACCAAGGTCTGGCTAGGGTGCATTTCTTCATACCCATTTATCCTTCCATCTGTTGTTTTAGCTCTTTTAGCCAATGCTGATGGCTTCTTTACACCAGACTGTGGGAAAGACTAAGATACATGATTCTTACTAGTTGCATGTGTAAGTGTCCTTCAGTACTAGTTTTATAAAAACATTCTGCTACCTTTATTTAAGTGTATCTTTTTTATTTGGATTGTTTTCTTAGCAAACAATTTGAATTGGTTTTCAGTTTAGGAAAAGTATTAAAATTAATTAAATTGTATCAGAGATTTCTATATAGTATTCCACAATTTTCCCACTATTTCATTACAGATTTTTAAATGCTATATGAAATTATTTTCCAATAGCAGATATCTTTGTTTTTGTTTGTAAATTTGTACATGAACAGCAGGTGGTCAATAAATTGTATTTAATTTGGTGTCTCACTTAGTCAATGTACAAACAATGCTAAATAATATATAGTAATGTAGAGGTGGTGTTTTATTTGCAATGTAAAACTTGCTAATTTTTTGTATTGTCGAAGACTTTCATGGCTGGAATCACTGGGTTGTTGTAGGTTTTTCGGGCTATATGGCCATGTTCTAGAGGCATTCTCTCCTGACGTTTCGCCTGCTTCTGTGGCAGGCATCCTCAGAGGTCGTGAGGTTGCTAATTTTTTGCTGTTCACATTCCCTAATATTATTCATTTAGAAATCATTTTTACAAGCCTATTATCACTGCAAGGAATTTTAGTTATTTCCAGTTCCGTATATTCGCACTGCCACTTTCTTAAAGGTAAAGTTCTCACATTTCTTGTTAAGTCCCTCCCTCTTGTTCCGACTGCTATGTTTTCTTGTTATTCAAGCTATTTTGTAGTTTGAATGTAACAACAGCTTTCTGTAGATGAAAGTGCTTTGTTCTTGAAGACTGGCTATATCTCATTATTCAGCTTTTATCTGCTCCACAACTCACCTTGCTTGGTAGGATTCTTCACCCTTCTATATAACATTTTAAGGAGCTTGAAGGAAGTAGCCATAATATAACTTGCTTATTTGACAAGTATTCTATCAGAAGTACCTTCTTATTTATTAGGCTAGGAAAAGCAAAGTGAGTACAAAATTCTCATAATGAAAAATTTGCTCAGTAACCTAATGAGCCTCTACCAGGGTGAACATCATGAACAAACCTTCCTTTCTAGTAAAAATGCTTGAATGAAGTAGAGCAGTAAGTATACTTTTTAAGTCTCACTACATCAGTACACTGCTGAAGAATTTATTCGGGCAAATGGTTCCTTCCTACTAAAAGAGCAACAGCTTTCTTTGTAAAATAACTGTCCTTCATTTAATTAGCCCGGATTAATATACAGCTCTGTAACAAGAAAAGTCCCCCCAATTTTCAATACACACCCCTTCCCTCCCATTTACCTCACCTGTTGCCCTGCATGCTATTTCATTAGATCCCTTCACTCTCAGAAATGGCTTTTCAGCTCCCTGGCTGAGGAGTGGGAAATATCAAGCAAAATTCTGCACATTCACACTTTTACATCTGGTGAGATTGTACCACACCTGGCTTTTTTGAGCTTTGGCCAATCCAATACAGGTATAGCAAGGTGCATCAAAGTCAATCAGCTGAAGTGGATCTCCATTGGAATGTGACTCTAGGCTATGATGCCTGGGCGTACACATTTTCATCTCTAATTTGGACAGGCAAAGAAAAAGGTTTTAGTGGGGAGAATTGTAAGAAAGTCAGTGTTAATTGTATATGTAAGATAGGGGAAGAGCCTCTGCAGTATATTTTGGCTCTCAATGGATTTTTTCAAGACTTTTTCAGACTTTCAGATGGTGCTGCAATAAATTAAAATAGAAGTAATATGTTAGCTGGTGAAAGACAATATAACAATTTCATTCCATATCTGAAATTCATTTTCAGGCTGTTGTTTGGAATTCAATGAATGACCTTGCTACCTAGTTTTTCCACTGTCCTTAACTTTAAAGTTGCAGCCAGGGAATTAAAAGTTCCAGAATGATTCCTCTTAGTAGTTAGCAGGGAAGGAGTCATACTTTATAACTAAGCCCTTGAAGGAGAAATGCTGTTTTGAATAACTTACTTTGGAAACTATTCTGTCTTCAAATTATCTCAACAATAATGCAAATAAAAATAACTCTCCTTTTAATCAAGAGCTTAGACCGAGGTCTTCGGTCATCTTGTATCTCCAAGTGATTAACAGAGATTTCTGTTCCATTTACATACGTTACAATTAGCTATTCAGTATCATAGTACTAGGGATACAGAATCTAGCACTCCAGTTTATTGATCTGCTTCTATGTACTGACTGAATGATTTACATTCCTATCCTGAAGGCTTGTTTTCCATGAACAGCTTTGTTCTAAGTGCAATGAAGTGTGAAAAAATATACACATTTTGCAAACAATTAATTTAACTGCATACTTGCATTGTTATTCATATAGGTTTCAAAGTAATGTACAAACTTTTCCTGTTTGTTGTTGTTGTTGTTGTTATATTTATTTATTTCCCACTTTATCTCGCCCGCAGGAGATTCAAAGCAGCTTTACATAAAAACTAGCGTTTAAAATATACAAATATTAAAACAGCATTAAACATCATTAGTATTTTAAAAAATCAGATTACATTCATAAAAACGTATAAAACCACAGCAGCCCCTAACATGCTCTTAAAAACGTTGTTATATAAAAGCCTGACTGAATAAAAGGTTTTAACCTGCTGCCAGAAGAACAGTAGGGAGGGAACCATTCTGGCTTCTCTGGGCAGGGAGTTCCAGATTTGAGGGGCAGCCACTGAGAGAGAACGTCCGCTCTCTCTTTCCCACCAACCGAGCTTGAGATAGAGATGGGACCAAGAGAAGCGCTTCTCTCGAAGATCTCAGGGCAGGTTTGTACAAGGAGACACAGCCAGTCAATTAGTCTGGACCTGAACTGTTGGGCTTTAAAGGTCATAACCAGCACTTTGAATTGTGCCCAGAAACAGGCTGACAGCCAGTGGAGCTGTTGCAACAGTGGGGAGGTTGTCTGCTTCCTGTAACCAGCCCCAGTTAGCAACGTGGCTGCAGCTCTTTGAACCAGCTGAAGTTTGTAAGCACTCTTCAAATGCAGCCCTACATAGAGCGCATTACAATAATCCAGATGGGATATAACTGAGGCATGTACCACTGCGACCATATCTGGCTTCTCAAGGAACAGATGCAGTTGGTGCACAAGTTTTAATTGTGCAAAGGCCCTCCTGGCCACCGCTGAAACCTGGGTCTACAGGTTCAGTCTCGAGTCTCAGGAGAACCCCCACATTGTGACCCTGTGTCTTGAAGGGGATTGAGACCTCATTCAGCAAAGGCTGATCTGCCTTCTGACTGACCAGGAGTAACTCTGTCTTGTCTGGATTAAGTTTCAATTTGTTTTCCCTAATCCAGTCCATTACTGATGACAGGCACAGCTTCCGTGCAATAGAAGTAATAGAGTTGGGTGTCATCTGCATATAGATGCCACTGTATTCCAAATATGTCTGAAATGGGCTTCATTATTTTTATCTGTATTTGGTACCCTTACATTCTTTGGTTATACTGAGTTATTTCTTCAACAGAAACTATGTTTGAAATAGTAGTCGAGATGAGGTATACTGATAATCTATAACATGTCTTTTATGTTCTGATATGTATATCTCAAAGATGTTAAAAAGAATGTTAAAAAGGACATAAAATGTAACGGTTTGTCATGAGCTTTTATGCCTAACAAGTTTTGCATATGATGTGGGCTTTTGGAGTTCAAGCCAACCAAATGCAGGATCATCTGGGGATCTTTTCTTAGGCTTTCTGGATTTTAGCATCTAAAACAGAATATTGTCCTTCTGTTTTAGGTGCTGTGACTATGAAACTATTTTAAAGCTTTGTTTATTTATGTTTTCAGAATTACTTTTTCTCTAAGTCTTGTTCGTTTAAGGGCTTGTTCGTATACATTGTTCAGTTTGAGGTGATTATTAGTCAATTGCAATTATGAACTGTATTCATTTTTAATAAGAGTATTGGGAAGCAGGTTTAGATAATGCAGTTACATTTTTTTCATTTGCAGGAGCCCCTAAAAAGTGTATATGTGAACATAAGAAAATATAATCAACAAATACAGATTTCTTCTATCAAAAGCCTACAGGAAAGCCTTCAGGTCTTCTGTATGCCATGTTGTGTGATTGTTGTCCCATGAGGAATTTGTCTTCATGAAGATTCCTAACATTGGTAATGTGATGAATAAATTTGAGATCCTTGGGGTTGTAGGTGAAGGTAAGCTTATATATTTAATATAATTTAATTAGAGGCTCCATTAATGAAAAGATCTTAGCCTGACTAGAATTGAAATGTTGATTTGATTGTGTCTGTAGAAAGTAGAGGAGGCGGCAAGGCTGCCTTTTCCCATTTTAAGCAAGTGAGGGGTAATGGGGTGAATGAGGATACTGCTTTCATGCTAAGAGGGGCATTTTTCTATGCTTTCATACTGGATCCCTAATGGAGACATGTAGCTTACCTTGCTCTCCACTCCCATCTTTTTCCCCAGGCTACATTTTCATTTCTCCCTCGCATTTTTTCACTTTCTGCAATGCAATTTAAAACCCCTCCCTATTTATAACCCCTCAAATGATCCTCTCCAGGAAGTCTGTTATATAGCATAACTGCCATAGTTTTAGATTACAAACCTTTAAAATGAGTAGCTTTCATGGAAGCCTGATTATTTTAGTTCATTATAACATCATTGGAAATCAAAAGTACATTTCCTTCCATGCACATCACTGCTTTTTGAGTTGGAGTTTGTATTGAGATTGAGACTTGTGCACATATAGAGTAACTAAAGTAATAGAGGAACACATTTCAAAACACATGAAAATCCATTAGACAACTTTCAGTATTTGAAGCCTTATTTAGCAGTAGAATAAATATTGAAATGTTTTCAAGAATTCTGGTGGTTAATATTTTGTTCCTTCTTTTGTGATTGTGGTCTAGGAGCTTATGGAGTTGTACTTAAGTGCAGACATAAGGTAAGTAAAATACTGCAACTTATGCAAAAAATTCTGAGGTCCTCAATTATTGTAGAAATTCTTTCAATAAACAATTGAATTAAATTACTACCATGCTGGACTGATTGGGACAATCATAGTTGGATGGCAAGTGACTCGACCTGTGGTCTCCCATTTCCCCCTTTATTCCTTCTTTAAGATATTTCAGGGTTAGCTTTTCCATCCAAAATGACAAAGTTTGTGGTTATTTTGCAAACTTGCTATTGTTTTTGAACTGGCAAATAATTTTGTCCAAACTGACAAACAATTATTATACTGTATTTAAACCAGCCCACAGTCTTCGAATCCTTCAGAGAAGTGCGTTCTAATTTTTTTGGCCACAGCATTATTTTAAGAGGAAGCACTCTCCTTACAGCATCTATAAGCCACTCAAGAAATGTTAGATTCATAATGGCACCTGCTGCTTGAAACCCAGGTGGGAAGCTATACTACTAGTATATGGGGTCTTAAAAGGGCAGTAAAGTGAGCCAAGTTTTCCTCCATTTCAGTGGCTTTAAAAATTATATTAGTGAAATAATCATCAGTACCTGTTCTGTGTACATATTATGGAAAATAGAATATAACTGCAGACTTCTAAATACTAGTTTACAGTTTTATATGCTCATTGTATAAATTGGACTAGATATTTCAAGGTTTTTTTTTACTGCCTGCCATTTAAGTAACTCAGGCAAATACTGCTGAGTTGCCTGCAGTACTATGAAACATGGCATCTGCTTAAACTGCTCAAACCAGTCAGACTCAAAAAGCCACTACATGTCTTATGCCCACTCCCTGCGGAAACAAGAAGTAAAGAATATTTTTGCCATACTCTGAAGCATTATAACCTCATGCTGGTAGAACAATTGATAAACACAGCTTCTCATGATTGATACAGAGATTTTCAGTATTTGAAGAAAATGCAATCCTTTCCTGAAATTATTTGAAGTTAAAATGTTTACAGACATGAGAAAACATTTCCATAAGCATGACTAGTGTAGTATGTATTACTTGAAATATAGCTAAGTCTATTGGAAAGCAAATGTGGATGAAAGTCATGAGAATTATGTAATATAAAAGATACTTTATTTATCATTTAAATATTATATTATATTTTAAAATATATAAAATATTAATTGTGTTGAGTTCACTTCAGAATTCCTGCCAGAATTCCTGCCAATCTATATTAGTTGACAAAAGAGGAAGATTTAGTACTAAATCTTGCTATTTAGCATGAAGTCAGCAGAGAATGGTTCAACCAATATTCATCCTAGTGTTTTAAGTTGCTTGTTTGCTGCTGTTGCTGCTGCTGCTGCTTTTTAAAAGGTTATTTTTCCAAAGCTGGAAACTAAGCTATACACTTCTAGCACATTTCTTAAACTGCTAGATAATGCAGTATAACTGAGATTTCTGCATGGACGAGGCCACTGCCAGAATGGTGTGTGTGTTGCTCTTTGTAGATGGCATGAGAACGAGAGCAGGTCCTTTCATTCCAAAGAGGGAAATATACTTTACTCCTTATAGGCAAACAGGAAAAGGCAAACAGGCATCTTGTGTGGAGAGTTGGAACAAGGGGGACAAACCGTAGCTGACAAGGCAAACAGACATTTTTTATTGGGGCTATACCTCCAGCATATGTAAGCTGGTTGCACTGCTGGAAGGCCTATGTACAAATACCACAGCTTATCAGAGCTTTTTTGAACAGAGTAAAGAAGGCTAATGGAAGGCAAACATGTGGATAATGCCTCTAGAAAGGAAGAAAATTCCCAAATGTAAGAGGCAGACACTTGAAAAAAAAATGTAACAATCAGATGTAGAATTATCAAAAGACATGCTATCAATTTGGAACTATGGCAATGAGGCAAAGCAGAAGGGAAAAGGACCACAGTCACAGAGAGTAAGGAATTTATCTTGCAGTGTTATGCAGATGGAAAAACACTTGCTGGATCCCAAAGAAACAAAAAAAAGGTGGTAGTTGTAGTTGAATCCCTCCTGAGGGGAACAGGGAAGACGAGATGTCACCAGAGGTATATTGTCTCGCTGGGGTGAGGATTCAAGATGTAATGGAGAGCCTGACAGGATTCATTAATCCTGCTGACTATTGGCTTTTTCTTCTGATCCACATGGGAAATAATGGATTAATGGAGAACCAAACACACTCTCTCAGCTCTTGGAGATCTGACTTCAATAAGTTGAGAGAGTATTGTAAATCCCATGGTCAGAAAGACTTGAAGGGAAAGGAGCTCATGATGTATGAGAGTGTCTTAAAGGCAAGGTATTTCTGGCACAATCGCACACAATTCAAGTGATGAAGAAAGGTGGGAGGTGTCTGAAGATAAAAAACTTTCAAATGAGCTGAGATTGAAAAGGGGCATGTTCAAAAAATGAAAGAAGGGAGAAGTCACCAAAAAGAAATAGAAACATATATCCAGTAGCTGTAGAGAAAAAGTCAGAAAAGCTAAAGCTTGGAATGAACTCACAATTGTTCAAGGGATGGATTTTTTTTGTTATGTTTGGAACAAAAGAAAGAAAAAAGTAGGGCAACTGTAGGAAGAAGATTGTCAAAGGCTGATCGGGAAAAGGGAAAAAGTAGAACTATAACACTGCTGCCTTGGCCTTCTGTCCAAAGAAAAAAAGTGTTCAACCTGGTAAACACAGAACAAATGATGCAGCAAGGGGACTGCAGCCTAACATTGGTAAAGAGATATCAAGGAAATACCCAGCTATTCTGATTTCTAGTTTCCAGGACCAGATGAATTGTAACAAGTGGTATTCAAGGAAATTTGCAGGTCATATCATAACAGATAGTAATTGAGAATGATTGGAGAACAAGACAAGTCCCAGCAGACTGGAAGAGAACAAATGTCCCCATTTTAAAAGGGGGAAAAACAGGACCCAAACAATTATCAGGCTAATATCAGTACCAGGAAATATTCTACAGCAGATCATTAAAGAGATGATCTATGCCAGTCCTTCCCCAATACAACGCCCATTATTCCATAGCATTGAGTCATGGCAGTGAAAGTGATGTCAAGCTGCATTAATTCTACAATGTAGATGCACCCAAATAATATTTGAATTGTACCTCTTTATCCTGGAAATAACAGACTAGTCGGTGCTAGGACTTAGTCCTGGCCCACTTGATTACCATATTTATTAATGACTTGGATGATTGAAGAGAGGTCATAGTTTTTTAATTTGCAGATGGCACCAAATTATGGTGGACCATCAGGAGAGAACTAGAATTAGTGTTCAGATCAAGGAATGTAAATACAGTAGTACATTTCTTCTTATTTTTGAGCAGCTACTGTGTACAGTTCTGGATGGAAAAGTCCTAAAAGGTCCTAAGTCCTAAGATGGAATATATTCATAGAAGTATGATCAAGATCATTGGGGGTCTGGAACTCATGTCCTATGAGGAATGGCTTAGGGAACTGGGAATGTATAGTTTGAGGAAGAGAAGATTTGTGGGGGGGGGGGGAGTGATGCGATAGCCATTTTTAAATATTTGCAAAGATGCCATGCTGAAGAATGGAGCAAATGTATTTTCAGCTTCTCCAAACATGAACGATCTGATTCAAATGTTAAGAAAGGAGATGCCATCTAAACATTAGGAAGAACTTCCCGGGAATGATAGCAAAAGGATAATTTCATTACATTTTGGATACTCCTTCAGGCAATGTTAGGGGTTTTCTCTGACATGAATCAACAGTTTTTAAAAAATCTATTCAGGTTTATTTGTTGAAAAAAATCTATTTCAGGTTAAACCCACAAGTCAGTTTCTGGGCTAGTTACTGTTTGATAATACCTTCCGCTTGGCATAAAATGGCCGGGTGAACCATAAATGTTGCCCCCTCTTCACAGTGGAAATTTAAGGGGAAAATATTTTGCCAGGGGGCCTTGGAGCCACAAAAACAGCCTTGTGGGCAACGTGTAGGTTACACCTTCCCAGCCTACGCTCTAAAATATACCAGAATTTGCAGATACTCAGGGAAGTATATCAAAGGTAATGAGGGTTCTTCTAAAGGAACAAAGCACTTTTTTGTCAATACAGTCTGTAAAGTCAAAGCATTTCATGTGGAAATAGAATTGAGGATATCATTACAACAACCTCTAAAATGTATCCTATTTTAATGATGCAGCTTTTCAGCTGAAATTCCAGAGCCAAACTTTGAAAGTTAAAGAAAAATGAAGAAGAATAGTAGGATTTCCCTGTTCTTGTTCTCCAGGTATAGACCATCTCGAGGGCTGATTATGATACTCTAATAAAATCAGACATGGAACTACATTGAAATAAATCCAGATAATCAGTTTAATCCAAGAATTGCACAACTTGTGCCTGCTTGGAAAACTTGGCCAAGAAGGAAATGGTTGTTTTTGAAATGATAACAAAAGGAAGCATATGAGAAGGAACTAATTCATCCTGTTTAAACAAAACTATGTACAGCATGTTTATGTTGGAATGTATTCAGATTCTGGTTTTAATTATTTGGAATGGTTACCTAAGAAGACTTGGATTTTTATGTTTTGCAAACATGGCCCCTTCCAAAATCCCTTTTATCTCATAAATTAAAAAGATGAGATTAAAGGTGCTAGTAGAGTCTAAAATAAAGGACCTTAAGAGTTAGCTACTTCATCCATCATCCTAACTGACAATCATCATACGAATAAGTATTCTAATTGAAATGCATCAAAATCCATTGAAAACTATTTAGTCGAATGACTAGTTTTCTAAAGCTTGTATGTGAAAAGCAAGACTTCTTACCATGGTCTGCTTTGCAAATAAAGAATAACATGTGTTTTTCCCAAATAAGAAGTTTTCTTCCTGTACAGTTCTTCAAAGGTACTAACTGACTGATGCTCATTAGCAAATTATGTGCTTATTTCTGGCTCCTAACTTTATGCACTTTGCTGATAATGTAGGAGTGTGTTAAGCTTGGCTTTGTTATCCAGAACTAAGCAGTTACTTTTAATTGTGAGTCATGTGACTTCTTTGTACATTTAAAGAATAAAAGAAAATTAAATAAGTACATGAATGCTACATAATATTCCAGACAAATAAATCTTACAAAATATTTAAACTCACAATTTATAAAACCAAGTTCTACAACTTGAATTCAGAAGTGATAAAGGACAACAGTGAGCTTGAGCAGCCTTTTATTTTAAGATGACAATCTGAGTGACTTAGCTAATTAGATTGCATTTTTGAGAGCAGGTTGTTGTGGAAATTTTAATGCTGAACTTCCCTGCTACACAAGACAAGGCAGACACCGAGTTTTCAAAGGATTAGGTTCAAACAAAAAAAAAAAAAGGAGGAAAAAAATCATATTTGGTCAAAAATACTCCTTTATATATTCTACACAGAAAAGCAAGAGAGTTTAAACAGAAAGAGAGAGATTTAAGTGGAGAATATTTCTTTTGTTTGTTGGGGAGAAGATCAGTGGAAAGAAAACTCCTTGATCTCAAGAACTGAATATGCCAGGTATCTAAGATAGTTTTTTAAAAAATCTATCCAATTTAACAAAAGATAACCTCAGATGTTCCCCATTTTGTTTTGCTCTTTTTGTTTCATGTTTCTTCTTTATTTCCCAGGACTCTAGGCCCCACTCCTTAGTACTAAATACTAGGCTAGTGCATGGATCCATTTTCAAAAAAAGTCTTCGGTTGGCTCAGATGCCATAACGGCACGGGCTCCACCACTAATTTTTTTTGCCACAACAGAACAGCATAGAACATTGTCAAATACCAAGCTGCTTTCGGTTTCTTTTAGTTAGAGGGAGGGAGGCAGCCGCTAAAAGAGAAAGGATCCCAGAAAGAGTGATTTTCTCAGCCCTTGCCTTAAACCCAGGTCTCCTCTAAATACAGAAGAGAAAGGATTGCAGGAAGGGGAGTTTTTTAAGCCCTTGCCTTAAACCTTGGTCTCCTCTAAATACAGAAGGGAAAGGATTGCAAGAAGTGGGGTTTCTTAAGCCCTTACCTTAAACCTGGGTCTCCTCTAAAGAGAGAAGGGAAAGGATTGCAGGAAGGGGAGTTTCCTAAGCCCTTGCCTTGAACCTGAGAAGCCCCTCCCCCCCCCCATTGCCACCAATGGGCTGGATTGAAAATGACACTTTTGGCTTCCCAGAGCAAAAACGGATTTCTTCTCTCCCAAAATTGGGAGGCTCCCAAAAAACAAGTCGGCCCCCCACCAAAATCCAGGACACCGAAACGGATCAGGGTTTACCCAGATTGCACAAGCCCTGAGTTCCTTGTGGAGATAGGATGGTATATAATAAAGTTTTGTTATATTATTATTACTTAGCATTGGATTCTCCTTAGCAAAAATCGTAAGTCTTCAACTGAAGAGGAGTGATAGAAAAACAGTTTTCTGAACAGTATGCATGGGAGGAAAAGCAGATTTGAAGTAGTTTCTGTGATCCTGCCATGGGGTTTTCTTGGTAAGATTTGCTTAAAGGAGCTTTGTGTTTGCTATCCTTAGACACTGAAAGAGTGTGAATTGCCCAAGGTCATCTGATTGGTTTTCATGGCTAATCAAGGGTTTGAAGGCTGGTCTCTAGTGGTATAGTCCAATGCCTAAACCACTACACTGGCAATACATTATAGGATAATAAGAGTTATTCAGAATAGAACAGAACATGATGACTATCCAGAAGGTTCTTTAATATTTTCTGGTAGGCTTAAATGTAACTTGGGATTTGCTGACTGGAATCTGGCTTTTGCACTATTTTTTGTACCTACAGACAACATTTTTTTTTTTGGTCAGGAGAGGAAACCTATACACAATTCCTTTAGCTTTGACACAGCCTTCAGAGCTTTAGTGCTGTTCCTGGCAGCTTTCCACACTGCTGCTTCTGGGACGAATTGGATTCTGTAGCCAGTATATCCAGTGAAGAATACTAAGGACAAGATATGCACGTCCCGAAAGCTAGCACATCTCAGCTTCTCTGTAACAATACTAGTCTCTGCTGTTGAAAATGTAGGAAAATACTTAGAGAAATGCAGTTCAGGTGAGAACTAATCTTCACTTAGAGGAAAATGTCGAGAAGACACTTAAAGCAGTTACATATTAAGATGCTCTTTCTTTCCCTTGTTTGCATGTGTTTTGCCACCAGAGGTTGTAGAAATGGAGTTGGTGCTAGGCATTTGTGTTGAGTATTGAGCTGGTGGTCTATCACAGTTATGCCACAGGCAGAACTGCTAATGTGAGGGCTGCTTTTTCTCACCGCATTTTTACTTCAGTGGGATAGAAGATCCCTACATCAGGTTTAGGTCTCTTCTAAATTACTACAAACAAAATATGATTGTAACACAATCATAGGAGAGAATATAAGTGTGCTTCTTCCCATGCTGCCACTCACTTTGCCCTATTTCAACCATCTCGTTGGCACATTTGTACTGGCAGACAGGTCTGCCAATGTATCTCTAGAGTTCTGCCAGTACATTTCTCATGTTGTTGGTGTATCTTATATTTCACTATCACATTAGGAATATTTATTGAGTTCTACATAACTCCTTAGCTGGTAAAATACTCAGTGTATGATTGTAGCCCATAGAGTTCAGTCAGAATGCTTTCGGGGCATCTATATGTGGGTGGCATGGTCTTATACCCGAGAAATAAGGGTATGATTTGCCTTTATATATTTCAGAACCACATGAAACCTTATGAGAAAATATTTAAAATTATCATTAAGAATACGATTTGCATTTAGTACCTTCAGGATTGCATGAATCCTTACATTAAAGCTTTTCAAATTGCTAAGATTATTGAAAAGTTACTGCTTTGCTTGCCAATACACCAGCTTTTGTAGCTTGCATCTTAATGAAGTGCCAAACTATTCTCCTGAAACCAATTAACATTTATAGCAAATATGGAATGTTGCCCTGTTTATGTAAAGAGTAATTCTCATGCAGTGCCATCTGTATCTTGCTGTTACTTTATCAGAAACAAGCAACAACATAATTTCCTGTAGTTTTTATGTTTCAGGGTTTTTTAGGAGTAGTAATTGGAATGGCATCATTTGTTTACCGCTTTTAAAATTGTATATATTTTGTTTTTTGGTGATGGAGAGTCTTTATCTGTAGTATTGGCACTGCACAGTCAACCAGCCAAAACATACATGCACAGAAATAAATCCATGCACAAACTGTGGAAATTATGTTCTGTTCCCAAGCTGTGTGACTTGAAGAGTCCCACTATTAAACATATAGGTTCCTCACATAGCAGAGGAAGGCACAGATGAGTGATTGATTTTACCGATAATATGAATTGTATCATTTGTTGGAAACTGGTGTAAAATAAAGCATCTCCAAAAGTGACATGTGTTGTATCCAAACAATCTGTAATGAAAGAGGAAGCTGTCTGCTGGAGATAAGTTATGGGACACATGTGGCCAGGATACATGACGTATGAATAGATTTTTTTAAATTAAGATTGAAGTAAAAACGTAGCCAGATTTCTTGAGATAACAAATTGTGGATTATGATTGCAATAGAAATTTTAATTGGAGAACTACATAGAGGTTAGTCTCTCAGATTTTGCAATTGGAAAGCTGCAGAAGTTTTTGGAATTGAACTAACTGCTGCAGGGTAGAAGGGTGTTTTATTTTATGTAACTAGTCACTCTTGTCTGAGCGTGCAGATGGCAATGAATGCTTATCACAGAATATTAATCTTTGTAATTTAAAGGAGATAATTTTATGCCAGATTTAATTGCAGTATTTGAAAGACAGTGTATATATTACATGTGTATGAATGTTGCTTGGTATCATGATGTGTGGAATTAATTTCTGTTTAAAACACCTTTGTACAGGCAGTCCCCAAGTTACGAATAAGATTCTGTAGGTTCTGTAGGTTTGTTCTTAAGTTGAATTTGTATGTAAGTCAGAACAGGTACATTTTTAAAGTGTAACTCCAGCCAAATATATATCTTTTTAAGCTTTGGATAGCATAGGGAAAGGTTAACACCCCTGTGGTGTTTATTTTGCTGTCAGTGCCTCTGTTCTGTAGGTTTGTTCTTAAGTTGAATTTGTATGTAAGTCAGAACAGGTACATTTTTTAAGTGTAACTCCAGCCAAATATATATCTTTTTAAGCTCTGGATAGCATAAAGCTTAGATAGTTTAGATTTCACCTCACTTTCTGTCATTGTGATAATTGGATATTGAAAAATTTGGCTTGCTGTGGAAATAAGGATTAGTAAAAAAGTTTCAGTGTAGATACCTTTTCCTCATGAGAACGCTTTCCAAGGAGTGAATTCACCTTCTGGGAGATACATTTCTCTCCCTTCCTGTTGTCTCACCCCTGTTGAATTGTTTGTAGGTCATATGTTAGTAAACTGGCTGGGATTTCTGGGAGTAGTAGGCCAAAACATCTGGGGATCCACAGGTTGAGAACCACTGTTCTAATGTGTTATAGCTAGCCCTTCTTTTTATTTCAAGGAAGATTCTCTGGTCTGGGGAATTTGGCTTTTCATCTTCAAAGTCAGCATTGTAATTTAGATGACAATTAAAACAATCCTGGAGAATTATAGTTGCTATAGACCAAAACACTCATTATTATAAATAATATTATCCTGCCATATATTCAAAGTTTGAGATGGAGCACAGTTAAAAAAAGCTCAAGGATTAAAACAATTTAAAAGCAACTTAGACAATAAGAACTGTTCAGCATGATCAAATTATAATACTCCAGTAGATAACAATCAAGCTAACATCACTGAGCCCCAAAAGCCCGAACCAACAATATTTAAATTTAGCACTGGAATGAGATCAGTGTTTCTGACTCAAGACTAGAAGAGTCCACAATTTGACAGGGCCAAGAGGGCCTTTCCCCCCATCAGTTCCTCCACCATACAATGTAAAACAAAGCCTAATATTAATTGAAACGATGTATTTGTTGGGTAAGTGGATCTTTTGGAGAAGCAACTCATTTTGCTGTTTATTTTTCAGGAAACACATGAAATTGTGGCCATTAAGAAATTCAAAGACAGTGAAGGTAACTTTTCCTCATTTGTGTATGAGAATTTATTCGTAATAAACTTCATTAGTTTTGTGTCTTAAGATAAACATTCTCTATTTTAATGTAGTGTACACTGAACATTGATATTTTTCTGAGATTCAGCAGAATAATCTACAGGCATAAAACATTATTGTGTGCCAAAAGGGGGGCACTGTGCTTTCCTAAGATTTCTTGAGATAATGCTTCTTGAGATAGTGTTGAAGTAGTGTTAGAATTTGAAGCTTCAGAAACTGTAGGCATTTTCTTGCTATTTTTTACCTAGGCTCTCTCTAAACCAAAGACTTTGTGTTCAGGAAAATAGATTACAGTTTTTGTTTACTATTCTGTTTTATCCTGGCATGTGTTATATAGGCTTTCTGGATGATTTAATCCATGCAGAAGAATTTTAAAAAATATCATGCTTAAACAAGATGAACTCTGCAGATGCTTTTTGATTTAGTCTTCAGTTTTCACATGCTTTGTTAAGAAGCATAGAAGTTTCTATCTTGAAAGGGTTTTTTTCTGTAGCACAACATAGGGTACATGTAACTATTATTTGATATAAACTTAACAGCAATGTTTTAAAAAATGTCACAGGACAGTCCTGATTATCTATTTGTTGCATGTCATGGAGCATGCTCTGTTACATGACCCACTTTGTGCTGCATATTCTGTAGCCAAAGTATGGATGAGGGAAAAGCAGACCATATAGCTGAACTGTGAATTGTCTTGCAGTTACTGAAAAAGCATGAAAAGAGGGATATTCTGGGAGATAGTCTAGCCCTTTAAAAAAGATATGAAGTGTTATTTTCCTTTTGCCTCCTACATACAATAAGAGCTGTCAGGTGACAAAATGCAAAGCTTTTTAAAACATCTTGATGCCTAATATATCATAAATCCACTATGGCTGACAGGCATGTGAAAAATTACTGCTCTTTGTCCTGGTTCTCTGTTGAAAAACCCATTGTCCAATGAAAGCAACAGCACTTAATGAGTCAAGAACAGAAATGTCTCATTGGTGCTCAGTACATAACATTAACTCTACATCTTTTGAATCCTTTTTCAAGACCGTACATCTTTTTTGTCTAATACAATTTCTCCCGAATATACACATGTATTTGTATGGTGCTGAGATAGAATGCAATAATAGTCTGGTTAGTACATTCAGTGCTGCTGCAATTCAGGTATGAAACAATATATTGAGAATGTTTGTTGATCTAAAAAATTAGTTTAAAATGTAGATGGACTTATCCATGGGTTAGTAGTGAAACCAGGTTATACTGCTGTTATGTCAATGAGCTCTGTGGTCCCTGCCGCTTTGAGTGCTTGAGAGGTGGCAGCTGGCAGCTGGAGTGACAAGGGCCAGCCAGATGCTTTGCCCCTCTACCCTTCATTCCTGCAGGAACCAGTGCTTACAATACGCTCCACATTTTGCGGAGCCACTTTCACACTGGATCTGGGATGTACTTGGATCTGCTGCAGCACATTTTATGGCTTAACAGATTTCCCTGCAACTTTTTTTAATGTGCTGCAGTGTGCATTAGCAGTGTGCATTTTGTGGTTTTCATAGTTTCAAGTCGTCTTGAAGCCACATTATGCTGTTAGTGTAGATGGGGCCATTGGCCCCTGGTTTTTGGCCCAGGTTTTTTAGAGAGTTGATTGTCTGACTAAAATTTCTAGGGTATATAGGATACGTCTCTCCTTGCCTTCAGATAGGGCAGTGTTCTGGAGCTGTGTTTAATGAATAGAGTGGAGGAAGAGAAGGGTCTAGAAACCGGTGAGAAAAAGTAGTGAAGGAAGAGGTTGTAGAGTGGAAGAAGTTTATTTAGGAAGGTTCAAACATCCCTCCTGTGCTAAAGCGCTCTCCCAAATCGATCACTGATTTATTCCTCTTGATGCTGGCCATTAACCTTTCGGCTAAAGTTTACATTTTTATGCCATGTTTGACTACTTCATTTGTTGTTCATTTGCAGTAAAGTATGGTATTGGATAAAGATCGGTACTATTCTCAGTGATGTTTAAAGTCACTCTTTCAGGAAGAAAAGGTTACATTCCAGTAATGAGAGAAAAGAATAAAAATTACTTGTAAAAGAAAATCACAATGCAAACTTGTCCAAAGCCAGCCAAACAGAAGAAAAGTGGGGTTAATTTTTGAAAAACCAATTCTGTCTGTTTAATTAGTTCAGGTATTCTACAGCCATTTCAGTCATCACTTTCACATTATAGTTTTCATATTATGGCTTAAGAGTAAACAGTTGAAATACTTACTATTTTATGTTGTACGTTATGAAACATTCTCGGTCTTGTGCCTGTTGTAAATGTTTAATTGGGCTCTTCTGTACTATTGGGGCAGGGGTGTCTTTCAAACATGGGAGTATATTTTACCAATGTTTCTTTAACTTTCAGAAAATGAAGAGGTCAAAGAAACTACTTTACGAGAACTTAAAATGCTCCGTACTTTGAAACAGGAGAACATAGTGGAGCTAAAAGAAGCATTCAGAAGGAGAGGGAAACTATATTTGGTGTTTGAGTATGTAGAAAAAGTAAGTTTTTTATTTAGAAGGGGAAAAGGTTGATACTCTCTCACACAAGTGGTGAAAAAAATGAATTAATGTAAAAAGAAATTAGCATTCACAGCTTTGATTCCAACAGAAATTGTACTACTAAGTCTTGAAGTCATTAATTTGTGGCATCATGTGAAGGTGCTTTTATTTTACCATGTTTTTAATGATTAGGGAAAAAATAGCCAGAATGAAAATGGAAACCAGAGTAGGTTGTCCTATGGAGGCAAGCTTGATTTACCCACTCCATGTTGCCTTCCTCTTTCTGGGTAAACATCCTTTTTATTCAGGTAGTTCTTTGGAAGTTTGGTTGAGTTGTTGCAGAAAGATTGTTTAAGTTGGACAGGTATCCTTTTTTGCCTTTATTGATGTGTGTTAGATGCTTTAGGGTGTATTGCTATCTGTATTGAGTCCAATTTTGTATTTTTATACTTTGCATTGATTATGTAGTTTTGTAATGAATGGTTTTGTTTATGGTTCCAGGTTCTTCTTGCATAAGGGAAAAAACAAAATATTTATAATTATTCATTATTATGATATTTTTTGCTTATGATCATACTGCCGAATGTGGTCCTAGTAGTGTAGTTTAAATGTATTTTAAATTTTGTACTAAGATGATTTTTTAAAATTGTGTTATATTTTTAAAATGTTAAATACCACCTTAAAATTCTGTGCCAGTGGAAAGGAGGGATATATAATGGTGTTAGGTCCCCGAGCTTGGGTTAGAGCACCAAGAAATATATCCAGTTTCAGAAGCTATCTGCCTTCAGACTCATGTGGCAACAGTGGGTTTTGCTCATGTGGAATCCCAGTGTTATTGCCCCGGTTCCCTCCCTTATTTTGTCTGATAGGCAGGTGGTTTATTGATGAACAAATCAGACACTCAGTTAAGGTATCTATGCTTCATACTAAGTCAACCTTTTCAGCTTTTATCAGTAAAATTTGTAGCCAGTTTGTATTCCACAATGTAATATATTTGTGCCTTAGAATCATAGAATTGTAGTGTTGGAAGAGACCTCATGGGCCATCCAGTTCAACTCCCTGACAGATGGCCATCCAGCCTCTGCTTGCATTCAAAGCACCCCTGACAGATGGCCATCTAGCCTCTGCTTAAAAGCCTCCAAAGAACAAGCCTCCACCATGCTCTGGGGCAGGGAGTTCCACTGCTGAACAGCTCTCACAGTCAGGAAGTTCTTCCTCATGTTCGGATGGAATCTCCTTTCCTGTAGTTTAAAGTTGTTCTGCGTCCTAGTCTCTAGGGCAGCAGAAAACAAGCTCGCTCCCTCCTTCCTATGACTTTCCCTCACATATTTATACATGGCTGTCATGTCTCCTGTCAGCCTTCTCTTCAAGTTAAACATGCCCTTTAAGCCACCTTCAACCAACTACATTTTATTTCTGCAAATCTTGGATGTTCCATGTCAGGTTGTGTTTACCTCACAACCTCTGAGGATGCTTTCCACAGATGCAGGTGAAACGTCAGGAGAGAATGCTTCTAGAACATGGCCATACAGCCCGAAAAACCTACAGCAACCCAGTTTTTTGGCTTTTGCTTTTCTGTTTTCCCTTTCTCAGAAGAGCTAATATTTCTTTAAAAGATTAAAACTTTTCAGCCCTAGCAAGTATTACAAATTTTACATTTTTCAGTTGATCTTAAAGGAGGCTATTTGAAATACATTCTCGTGTTTGAGAAAATATGATACAGCTGTAGCTACAACTTAGAACCAGTTGTTTTTAGCTAGCACTGGAACAAAAATGTGTACTGCATACCAGAAAAAGTGCAATATCATTTTTAACCACAACTGTTACCTAGCCATCAGCTTTGATCCTAGACCATGAGCCCTTTTGTAGAAATATAGAGATAGATATTGCTATGTATTTCTTGATCATATCCTGGCTGAGGGAATATACATTTTGTGAAGGGAGTTATTTTCAAAATAGCTGGAATCATGAAATCATAGTTGGAAGAGACCATAAGGACATCCAGTTCAAGCCCCTGCCATACAGGAAAATCCAATCAAAACACTCTTGACACGTGGCCAGCTTCCATTTAAAAACCTTCAGAAAAGAAGACTTTATCACACTCCGAGGTGGCATATTCCCCTGCCAAACAGATCTTACCATCAGGAAGTTCTTCCTAATATTTAGGTGGAATCTCTTTCCCTGAAATTGGAATCCATTAATCAGTGTCCTTGTCTATTGAGCAGCAGTAACAAGTCTGCCATCTCTTCAGTGTGACATCCTTTCAAACATTTAAGCATGGCTATTGTATCACCTTTCAGCTTTCTTTAATCGAAACATTCCCAGCTTCCTAAACCATTCCTCATTTCTACACAGGTGGATTTAAATAAACTTCCAATTACTGAAAGATGTAATGGCTTGTGCTGAGGACGAAGATGAAGGGGAAGGGTTTCTTTGCCCAGCATCTTAGTCAGCGACGAACATTGATCAACAGCACAAGTGGTCTGGCACTGAGGAACCCACCTCTGCAGAGCAGAAGCAGGAGCTCCAAAGAGATAGGGATACAGAGTCAGTGGCAGGGTCAGGGGCTTTAGGAAGCAAACCAGGTACTAAGTAGAACAGATGCCATTCAACTGAGGAGATCCAGTCAATTGGCTGATAGGAGGCCCAACAGTGGAATCCCTTGGGAAAGGGGCATAAGTAGCTGGAGGTTGGTGCTGGAAACAATGTTAGTGATATTGTTACAACCTGAATCTCTGCTGGTGCACCTTAACTTTGGTGTGTGGAATACATTTTGTGTGTTGTCAAAGGCTTTCATGGTTGAAATCACAGGGATTGCTGTGAGTTTTCCGGGCTGTATTGCTATGTTCCAGAAGCATTATTCCAAGTTTTCCACACAGCCTGGAAAACTCACAGCAACCCAGAATACATTTTGGCTTGCAGTCTCAGTGTTGGTGAGATTACTTGGCTTTGAACATTTTGGAAAGAACTTTGGACTGATTGCTGTGGATGACCTCAGACTGCTTTGGACTATGATACATTGTGTGACTGTTTAACAGTAATTTGGTGGACAGGACTCTGACAAAAGAGAAATTTCTTATTATTCCAAGCAGTGTCGGATTTAAGAAAAATTAGGCCCTGTGGAAGTTGTTATGAAGCCCTTTCCTTGGGGTCTGAAGGAGGTAGGTCTGGTAGGCCTACAGTACCTGCTTTGTGGCACATTCCCATAGGCTATCAACTCTAGCATCATGTCTAGAATCACTCCCGAAATAGAATGCCTTCAAATTTAGAATTGTATCACATAAGCAAAATCCATTGTTAAAAAATGGCAGGAAGATTGACCTCTTGGCCAACAAACCTAAGCAAATCTAAGCATAGTGGTAAATCCGACACTAGTTCCAAGACCTGTTAATTTTTTTTAGTTCAAACCAGTGTAGTTGAGTAGTTCTGACATTAAAATTAAAAGCAAACTGACTTGCTACAGTATCTTGCAAATGCAGGATTGCAGAAAGTAGACAATCAGGTATGAGTGCAAAGGAGGATAACATCCCCTTTGTGAAATGAAAAAGGCCCTTGTATTGTGCAGCAACAGGACTACACAGGAAGCTATTGCTATCCATGTTTTTTGTTGCCAATTGATGTACACTGTCTCGTTGATTCAAAAAAACAAAAACAAATCAAGAATATGATTTATTCTGTTTTAAGGTCTGCAAAGTGCCATGCTACAGATATTGTTTGATTGCATGCTGGCTAATGTCTTAGAAGCAGCAGCAAACGAGATCTGTGGGGCAACACTTTACCTATCCTTGGTTTAGGATCTCTGATCAATTCCATAAATTATAAGTGTGAGATCCTGGATATTTAGCAAGCTCCCAAATTTAGGAGGTTCATAGGAACTGGTGTTTTTTTTCTGCTGTAAATGTCTTTAAGTGTTTATTTACATTATTTATATCAATAGTATATGTATTTCACTTATATTTGTAAAACAAGAACTGACTTATTTTGGTTGATAAGAGAATAAAAAGTTTATAACTAAATCGAATTTCTGTTAATTTGCGTATATGAAAGATAGGTACATGTTTGGAGTGAACGTAGCTTACTGTGTTAATATCGGACTAATGCTTTGTGCTGTCAAACTACATGGTTACATAATTATGATACTGCAAAACATTTGAATCAATTCCCTTTTAGCTTCTAAAATCATTCTATTTAACCCCTAGAATATGCTTGAACTGCTGGAAGAAATGCCAAATGGAGTCCCACCTGAAAAAGTAAAAAGTTATATATACCAGCTAATTAAAGCAATTCATTGGTGTCATAAGAATGATATTGTTCATAGAGGTAAGTATGTCAGAAAAGATAATCACTCTTAACAGGCAAGTTTGGGAAGTACTTTTAAAATAAAAAATCAATGTAATTTCACTGAAAATTATTCCAGCAGTTTTATTTAACATTGTTTCACAAGAGAGAATATGAAACGAGATATAGAGGACAGTGCACATAGCCTTATTATAGCACATATTTCTGCCTTATAAAGTAAAATGAAGATTTTGTAGGAATTGGCTATATCAACAGCATTAATCTCAGCTACAGTTTTTATGTGAAATAGGCAATCATTTCCATAATGTAAGAAAATGGGAGTTCATTATCTGGTCAGTGTAGAGGAAATTCACATAACAATGTGGGTTAATTCTTTGCATTAGAGACCAAAGGCAGGAGTCACATGAACTTACAAAAGCATTTTGCAAACTTCACTCTCCCTTCTTCTGTCTTTGACCTAAACAGAGCTCAATTTTACCACCTCTGCTTTTCCACTGCATTTTCATAGGAGTCTTTTCTTATTCAGATTTTTCTGCCTTCTTCAATTTTCTTAATTTACTACATACTTGGTTTCTAACAAAAAAAACCAAACCATTTCAATGTTTCTTATGTTCCTGATTCTCATTTGGATAGGGAGAGTGAGAGAACAGACTATGCTAGAGGAAGAGTGACAAATAGTTGTCAGCAACCAGCTAAGAAACATGCTTTAGAGCTGCTCATGTTGTGGCTGAACAGCAGGTCCCTTAGTCAACAGCAGAAATTTCATTAAGAAAAACATTTCAGTTCTCTGGTGAGTGTAAAGGCAAGGACGTTGGATTGCACATCACTGCTTCTGCCACAGGGAATGGAATCAGCTGTGGCTCGGTCTTGTTTTTTAAAGACAAGGTTGATCTGGAAAGGAAAGAAAGGGTAAGGGCATATCTCAAGAAAGCTAATAAAAGAAAGTTTGGATAGGGAAAAATGAAGGAAACAATGATAAACAACGGATGGTGTAGAAAGGTTAGTGAAATAAGATAATGATTTCAGCTTAGGGTAGTTGCAATATCTGTCATTTTGAAAATCCCATTCAATCATATCTGTTAATGGTTGCTATGTTTGACAACTGAAGACTCTTTAGATCAGGCATGGGCAAACTTGGCCCTTCAGGTATTTTGGACATGAACTCACACAATTCCTACCAGCCTACCAGCTATTAGGAATTGTGGGAGTTGAAGTCGAAAACACCTGGAGGGCTGAAGTTTGCCATGCCTGCCTTAGATCTTCCATGCCTGTGATACCTTCTCTGAATGATGGATTTGCTTCCCATGCACTTGGTTTTTGCTTTGAATATAGTTCAAATTTCTCCAGACTTGTTGAAACAGAATAATATTTAAAGCTATGAACACCTCTCGACAAATCAGTTTTTTCTTTTCATGATGCAATCCCAGTCAGTGGCTAGTAACATCGCATCACTTAATGACATCTTTAGTAACATCACTGTTGCCTTCAGTTGAGATTGTTTACCTTTATGTCTTGGGACATAAACCCCCTCCTATTTTCCTCTATGACCTCTGTCTAGCTGGAAGGTTTTGTTAAACATCATTACCATTGGGAACATGGTGAAGGACTGGAAAAGCACAGACATTCAGTTGTAAGACTGCAGCAGCATGTGTGCTTGAGCTACTTCTCAACCAATCCTAATATGGACTGGATGTGCACTGTCAAATGATGCAGTTTGAAGGGTCTACACTGACCGTATAATTTAGTCCAAACTGCATTATTTGACCGTGTACATCCAACCATAGTTGACTATGCCTACCTAAAACAGGTCATTTTAGATTCCGATCCTTTCCTCTGAGGTATTAGCTATCCCTCCCAGTTTGGTTTCAACTGCAAATTTGATAAGTATGCCTTCTATTCCATCATCAACATCATTGATAAAGATGTTGAATAGCACTGGGCCAAGGACAGAACTCTATGGCACCCCAGTAGTCACTTTTTCCTCAGGGTGAAGAAAAGCTATTAGTGAGTTCTCTTTGGGTTTGGTCAGTTAAACCAATTACAAATCTGCCTAATAGTATCACTGTCTAACCCAGGGCTTCTTAAACATTTTCCACTTGCAACCCTTCCTGTCTGAGGAATTTGTATGTGATCTCAGGTATATAGGTATATAAAACAGATATAAATATAATAAATCAGCATTTATAAGACTTGTTAAACAGGCTGATTTTACTTTTGGTGCAGTACAGGCTGAGGTATTTTCTGCAGTGTCTACTATAAGCACTGCACATTGTTGTTAACAGATTTGTGTGAACACATGGCATTCAGAAACCTTTTACTGTTACCAAATTTTCATCACCCCAGCAGTGAGCTAGTGGGGCAAGAATATTCAATAAATCAAAGGACTTACTGAAACCAAGATATGCTACATCCCCAGAATTCCCTTCACCTACCAAGCTTGTACCTCTGTCAAAAAAGAAAAGAAAAAGAAAAGAAAGACTGAGGAGACATATGCAAATGAGCAACATGACATACTCGCAGACAGATTGTGCATTATTTTTGTGTCACTTACATGAAAAGTAATTTAACTTTTAGATCTTGATTCTTTCTATCCTCGACTCAGCCACCCATGAGAGAAGAACCAACATATGCTAGATATGCAACCTGTATTTATTTGCACTATTTATTTTCTGTATATTAGGCCAGTAATTATATCAAGATATATATTCTATGCTGCTATGATTCATTACAAGCAGTGGTGATGACACAGGTGTTTGCTATAGATTCATCACTGCAGGGAACATGTAAGACTGCAGTTTGGTGCACACTCTCTATTTTTATTCAGCATTATAAAATAGATAAGTCTGAATCAGCAAAAGAGGGTTTCAAAAGAATGCACTTCACACCATTTTGTGAGATGGTTTGCAGCCGTCCTGATAAATGGGCTTGTAGATGTCTCACATTGTTATGTTCTTCTATGCATTCATTGTTGACTTACAGTAAAAACTAACTTTTCTAAGGTGCAGAAGCACAACCAGTGACTAAAAACTTACAAGGTGGTTTTGAAGCATTCATGCTGTACTTCTTGATGGGATGTGTTTTGGTTTTCATTCCATTTAAATCCAATTAAGGTAGGGATGTGGAAGAAAATTGAGAGGAGGGAGGGATCAGGTAAAGGAACATCCTGTAAGCTCATATGACTCCATCATCTCACCTGGGAAATGCAAGGCCTAACTCATATTATTATGGATTGCTCCTCTGAACCTTAGAAGAATGAGTGTTCACACTTTTTTAAAATTCCTTGGATTAGTCTCTCTCACTTGTATGGTTTCTTGCAAACATAGAAGAACTCGTGGTGAATGGTATCACATGTTTATATAGTTCCAATTGAAAACAATGTTATTGATGAGTGCTTACTTTTAGCTGGATCATGTCTTTTGATCATTACTTTCCGAAATATGCAGTTATTAGTTTTTCTGGGGTTTTTTCTGTTCAAATATATTACTTAAAAAAAATCCTCATTTCAATTAAATGAATGATGCAGAATGAAGTATGTACTCTTATTTGTTGACTTGTTTCTATTCCAGATATCAAGCCAGAGAATCTCTTAATAAGCCACAATGATATATTGAAATTGTGTGACTTTGGTAAGGTTCATTTTCATTTTATTATGATTATTATTATTATTAAAATATTTTTCTCTATTATTTCTCTTTTATGTTGAATTACATTTAAAATATACTATTCATTTTAAAAAGCTACTTAAAATCACTTACATTTTTATTAGATCTATTTTATATCTTAACTATATTATTTGACAAATATATAAAATGTTTTCAATTTTACTAATAATACAAAAATTCTAATGGTGGTCTGCTATCACAAAAAATAAATAACTGTGTCTCAGACTATAATATGTATTGTATGGATAGAATTAGCTGAACTTAATGTCTGTACTAGCTTTCTTTAATATGTTTCAGTTTTATTGATTATGGCATTGCTGGTTGTGGAAGCTGGAAATTGGACTTTATATATTTGAAACTGTGGTTTCCTCACTGTAAAAGGAAATGAAAAAGTTCAGATTAGCAATGGCTCATTCAACCTTTTTTTCAGATAAAAAGTCTTGATGATAATATTTCTTCCAAAATTTTACTTCAGTATTATATAGGTTGAGGACTGTGGACCACATGATCCCTTTTTGTTAAGCTTCCCAACCTCTGAAATTCCCAAAGCCACCTCTGATGGAGAAAATGTAATAGTCACACCCTTTGGGGAAGGCAACATTGGTGTTTTGCTTTTCCCTGCATAATAGTCGCTCCCTTAGTTCACTTGCCCAGGCAAGTGAAGTAAGGGTGTGACTGCCCTTTTGGCACTACGGGACTTGACTCCTAGTTGACTTGCAGTGCCAAGAAAAGAGAGAGGGCAGGTGGTCAGGGGAATGAATTCCTCACTGTCTGTTTTCTTTCAGTTTTGGTGCTATGGGGCTTGACTCAGCTGCTATGTGGACAGGTGAAGTATCACCAGCCTGTACAACTGCACCCTTGACCATGCCCTCAAAGGGATTATTAACCAGTGGAAAAAGCCTTTTTACCAAGTAGTAGTTGCTACTGCATAATAGTCACAGAAATGGAAGAAATGCTACTATGTTGCGGTGAAAAACGGTATCTCTGTTTCTTCAAAATTCAGCCAAAAGATAAAGTGCTCAAATGTTCCAAGCCACCTCAGCCCCTCATTGGAGAGATTGCTCTCACGACAACCTGATAATGGCCCTGTCCCCAGGAACTGCAGAAACAGGGAGCAAGATCAGCAGTGGGAGACTGATTTGCAGATGCACCACAGTACAAAATAGCAGACAGTTTCCAGTTGTTCTCACTTTATTTCAAAGTGCCAGCAGGCATCAGCATTTCAGTCCCCAATGCCATTGAAAGAAATCTTCCAAAGATGATGCCCCCACAGCCACATGCCTGTTAAACCCGCTTTTGCCTGTCGGGCCCAAGCTGAGTAAGATTGGAGGGCTTCCAGTGAAAGTAAAAAGAGGAAAGGGCATGCAAAAAAACTCTGAAGTAGGAAGAAAACTCTGTAAGGAAGGGAGATGGTCTATAACAGGGAAATATTTAATTGCAGATTAATATGTGTGTTTGCTTATATCAGATTCAGAGATCTTACACGGCAAGACTGTTTCAGTCCATAAACCAAGAGTAGCTTTAAAAGAAATCAAGGCCCCTTAAGGATGCAATGTTATTGTCCTAAAAGGGCAGGCAATTCATTTAGGAAATAATTTTAATTACATTGAGTTTATATATTTAATGAAAGAAAAATGCCAATCAGGTTGAAAATAATGAAGTGTGCATGTGTTTGAACCATGTGTTAAATTTATGTTAAATTTATATTTTTATGTTTAAAAAAAAGATAGGTTTGAGTGAGTTTGACCAAACTAGGAAGTGGTTCCTCATCCATCTGCATTGCCTACGCTAGTCTAGACCCAGACATGAGGGAAATGCGTTTCTGATAGTTGTTGCAAGATCAGCCAGGACTAGCTAATATGGTGAGGGATGTTTGAAATGGTGTTGGTAATCTATCGTGTACTACATACTACATATTAGTCATGTTTACATATATGATCTCTCAACCTCAGAAGAAAGCAAAGGCAAAACCTTTGAATTCAGTCTGAATTCAAAAGTTTCTTGGAATTCTATTGGAGTTTCTAAGTAAGGTGTTCAGTAATAAGATAAAAGCTTTTCTAAATGATTGCTCAGCTACCATGACTGCTAAAGAAATAAATTGATTGTAAAACCTGAAAAAACAGTACTCTTTAAAAAAAAGTAGGCTTTTATACTGCAAATGGCTTTCATTGCTTTCATTGTAATTATTATTCCTACTCTAATAAGCAGCTGCAAAATGTTCAGGAAAAGCCTTTTGATTAAAACAGGGCAACTTTGACCCTTGGTAAACTTATCCAATGCCCAGTCTGATTCCTAACACATACACCACAGTCTATAGACAGAGGAAAGGGTTATGGAAAAGGTTCCTTGAAGGTAGAAGTCTGCTTTGAAGATAGATATTTAATAGGGCAGGCATGGGCAAACGTGGGCCCTCCAGGTGTTTTGGACTTCAACTCCCACAATTCCTAACAGCCTCACAGCCCTCCCTTTTACTCCTCAGCCACTTAAGGGCCTGAAGCTGTTAGGAATTGGGGGAGTTGAAGTCCAAAACACTTGGAGGACCAAGTTTGACTATGCCTGTAATAGGGAATAAATTACACTGAACTCAGTAAATATTGTCGGATCATTCAGAAATGAGTACTCTTGTGTTCTTTCAGGCTGCTGCTAAAGGTAGAAATGCTATGTATACGTGCCTTTAAAACAGGCCTGCACAACCTGTGGCCCTCCAGATGTTGTTTTGGACTTCAGTTCACAGAATTCTTCACAATTGTCAAAGCTGACTAGGGCTTCTGGGAGTTAGAGCCACAAACACCTGGAGGGCCACAGGTTGTGCAGGTCTGCTTTAAAGGCTGCAGCCTGTGCATGTCTGCTGCATCTTAACTGGACTGGGCTGTATGTATGTGTAATTTCCAGGCTTAAACACATGTTGTGTGGGTGTGGTTTTTTCTTGTAAGAATGTAGAAGGAAGTGTACTAGGCATAGACTAATTATGACAGATGCACTTGGTTATTGCATTCTGGTGTTTCATTCTCCAATGCATCTGCTGTGTTTGAGAGAGTTTCCCTCCCACTACTTCAGCACTCATCATTTGAACATTTATGTAAAATGCTGCATAGGATTTTGCTTAGTCCAGGGAAAGAGCAAAATGTGTTGAATGCATGCAGATAGGTCAAATGGCACAGTGATATCAAATAATTGAATTGTATCTCTAAATCTGTGTAGAATGAGCATCTAGGTTGAATCTCATATTCTGTGCAGTGATAAAACTTTGTATACTTATGATTTTATATAGATGTGTTCCTGTAAGCTGGTAATCAAAATTCTTCTATTTCAAAGCATGCTCCTTCTCTTATATCATCTATGTATCATAAGCAGTTGCTCGGTTCCCTTATGTCTGCTGGAAGACTGTTTTTTGCTAGAAATAGCTCTCTTCCTTCCAGTAGCAAGTGAATCTCAGTAGGTTTTTTTTAAAATGGCCTATGAATACAAGTAGCATTTTGCACACAAAGGAAACATAGTAGTGCTGGAATGTACTATTTTGTGGTTATAATTCCCCTTTCCCCACACAGTGAGAAGCTTTCTATGTGAGCTTCTGGAAGGCAAGAACTGAATCCCAAACAGAAATGCCATGGTTCTAGTGAATGATCTACAACGCACATTATGCAGAAGTAGTGAGAGAATAAATTGGATGATTTGGATTTTCCCCTCACATTCAGGTCTAGTGTAAACAGGGATATGTATTCTGTATTTATTGCTATTTCCCTTTTGCTTGAGATGGGGAAACAGAGATCACAAGTCATGTTTTCTTTCATGCTTCTTCTGTGTAGTATGCTAAATGGTTGTTCTTGTTCTTTAATATGGCTTTAATGACTGTGGAATAGGTTGTGCTCCATCTATGTTTTGAAAAGGCACCTACAGTGCAGTGCTCTTGATGTAGTGTTTTAATACATAGGGGCAGGGCTTATTCCTGCAGAATCATTATACTAATACACAAAAAACAAGCTAGATAGAGATGATTTAAGCATTTCATTTTAAGAAACTTTAAAAACTTGAGATGTTTAAAAATGTAAATGTGTTGTGAGTGATTTTCAAATCACCTTTAATGCAGGTTTTGCACGGAATTTGTCAGAAGGAAGCAATGCTAATTACACTGAATATGTGGCCACCAGGTGGTATCGTTCTCCTGAACTTTTGCTTGGGTAAGTAATCTTGGAATCTGTCAGTGGATGCTTGTTCTTTTGTTAATCTTACTCATCTTATTCATTATTCACTAATGCACATTTATTCTACTGCAGATAGAATATACTGCTCCATTATATACTACTGCTGGATAAAGGGCACAACAAATTCCTATCTTGACTGTTCATCTGCCTTGTCCATTATTGATATTAGCATTAAACCAAGTGTTTTTCTCCCTTTAAGACTTTGCAATTTTATAGTCTATAAAAATGTTAAGGTATGCTTTGATAGACTTGGTATGTGATGAATTTGTTTATCTCTATATGGTGTACAATAGGAAGGTACATGTCCCCTGTAGTGTATTCTGTTTTGTTAGTGCTGCACCCAGAAAAAAAGGGAGGGAGTTGGATAACTTCCAATTGTAGTGACTTGCTCTTCTGTGCCATCTTGAGGATGACAGATGAGATATAACATGAAGGTTCTTTCTGGGATGGCAGGAGGACTAATCCCTCCCTCAGAAGAGAAAAAAATATTTAATTCAATTTTGTATACAGTTAAAGAAGTTAAGATTATTTGGAGGTTAAGGTCTGATAATAAAGCTGGTAAGGAAGGGAAGGGGATTCACTGTTTCAATGGAAAAATAAGAGGGCTTACCTTATCTGGTTGGTGTTCAATGGTTAAATCCAGTTATAGTGTATTGTTTTTCTTATTTTTCCATCCCAGAATGAACCTTCATAGCACTCTAACGTATCATTTTTCAATTTTTGTACTGAAAGTAATGCTTGTCAAGTCATAATTCCTTTATGAGACTTATGCAACAGAATTCATGTATAAAGTAACTCATTGTCTATAATATAATACTATTCAAAATACACAGGCTTTTTGAGAATAGAATAACATCGAATTGACCTTAACAACTTGAATAATGATCATGAGGAAGTCAATATGTATGGAAACCAAAACTTTGCATTTTATTGTGTTTTTAATCAGTTATGTTTTTAACTTGTTTTATTGCTTTTAGTGTGTTAATTTGTTTATATGTTTTAATTTTTTTATAGTTTGATATGGCTTGTTTTATGGTTGTTTTATGATGCGGCACTGAATTTTTGTCAGAGTTTATAAGCCACTTTGAGTCCCCTGCGGGGTAAGAAGGATGGGGTATAAAATAAATAAATAAATAAAATAGTGATGATGCAGTTGGAAAATCCTTTCGGCCATTGTTTGGCATTTCCTGGACAGGATCTGATAGCATTTGCCACTTTGACTACATCATCACAGTGTCTGATCAAACAAGTGAAAGCCTAAGGATACCAGATTGAGGCTGTAATATGTATATGGTACCACTGCCCATTCCATTTGTGCAAAAACCTGTGATGTTGCTAGAGAAGTATTATTATTATTATTATATTTATTTATTTATACCAAGCTTTATCTCCCCAAAGGGGACTCGGAATGTACTATTGTGGTGTAACTAGATTGCATTCTGCTTCTTCTGAGGTCTTTTCTTATGGATGGCTCCTCAAAGTTGTGATATAATGTAGTAGCTTCAGTTTATTGTTGTCTCACGCTTGAGAAATCAGTCAAAACCACTCCCTTGTCATCCCAGAAGACATCTGCCATAATTCTGTGTGTTGACTGATGACATGAATTTCTTTGGTTGAGGGGAGGTGGACTCCTGCCACTCCATAGAGTGATCCTTGGACTCTGCGTCATATACATATGCCCAGGGCACCATCAGGGCAAGCATTCCCTAAAAATGTGTGCTTGTGGACTTCAGATGATGCCAATAGTTCCAAGCACATGGGCAGTCTTTACTCTTTCACATTAGCTGTTAATTGAGGAGGAACCTCAAGGTGGTGCATAATTGCTCAACAGTACTGTGACCACAGCCAAGTACCTCAACAATCATCCAGACAATCATATGTTGGTCTGTACTAATAAAATCCTCCCTGTTTTGATTTTCATCAAGTAACTGTCATTATTTGCTTTCCACTATCTGGTTTGTCTTCACCACTGGTTTTGTTTTCTTTAAACTTTTCCCTCAACTTCACACATTACTGTCATCAGTTTTAGCCTCGCCATACACATCTTTGAGCCTTCTGTGAATGTCGGCAATAGTATATCTTCAAGAACTCAATGGCTGCTCTTTGTTTCTGCTTCTTATCCATGGTAATGCAACACCCAGAAACACAGAAGTGATGTCAGTCATACAATAAGAATAATTTGTCTGATGGTGTAATAGCATCGGATTTGGATTAATAGCTTCAGAAGAAATAGCAGGCAGGCATTATTTTCAGTATAACCCTTGTATGTGAATTACTTTGCCAAGTAGCAATGGCATGGGTGTTTCCTTTTCAGAGCCCCCTATGGAAAGTCTGTGGATATGTGGTCTGTAGGCTGTATTCTTGGAGAACTGAGTGATGGACAGCCATTGTTTCCTGGAGAAAGTGAAATTGACCAACTTTTTACAATCCAGAAGGTGCTAGGACCACTTCCTGCAGAGCAAATGAAGCTTTTCTACAGCAATCCGCGTTTCCATGGGTTACGGGTAATGCCTACATTTTTCATACATATTCTCAAATATCTAATTGTAGAAAATGTGTCTACAAAAATGATCTTCCTATTTGGCATTACTAATGCGGTAGCATTACTTTTATATATATATACACACACATTTCAATTTCTATTTTTACTAGCATAATAACTGCCTAGTTATGGTTTATTATAATGGGACTCAACTGTTGGCGATGGGGAAAATACTTTCTCTGTATCTGGTTCCTGTGAGAGTTTCAGAAGTTGCAAATTGGATTACGTTTACATTTGTTTTTTATTTATAACTGTGGACATTTTGTCCCACATGTAAGTTGCCCTAAGTCCACGAGATGGTGGTGCGGTGTTAGAATAAAGTTGTTGTTGTTAACCATGAAGTATTTAAAATAATAGAGACTCCCTTTTTAAACAAAGCAACTTGTAAAACATGAAACATTTCAATTCTACCTCTAATGACCTTGACACAAAAATAAATGTTTCAAGCACTGAAAGCTATAGGCACTGATTAATTTACAGTTTCACAATGTCTTGCCCAATTTATCACATTCTAACTTCAGAACCTATTCCTATACCATGGGAAGAAGCAGACAAAGGTGTGAGGGCTCTGTGGAGCAGCCCTTATCTCAAAAAAGTGGGAATTTGAGTTTGGAAGTTCATTTAAATCCTTCAATATAGAAATGCAATGGAAGCAGGGATTGACTAACCATAACGAGATAATCAGATGATCTACATTTGCCTAGCTGAGTGGCGAAATTCACTTTGACCAATAGCAATAATCTTCCCTCCTCTTTAAAATTTCTGTCAGTTTGTGGGAGAAAACAAATCTTATCGTTACCAACACATTAACTGGGAAGTAATGGGGGAAGTTAATTCCTCTCAAACTCCATGATCTGACAGCTTCCATCTTCACCTATCTACTCTTGAAGGGCTAATATTGATTTAAAAGAGAAACAGTGATAGCATATCTGAATTAGTCTTTGCAAAATAATTAATTTTGTATTACTTATAATGATTATGTATGGATAATTTCAGTTAGGATATAAGGTTTTGTTTGACTGCTATTTCATTGTGGTTTTTGAGTATACAGATAACATTTTAATGCATTTTGTAAGGTTGTACATATGTATTATATGTATTTTCATACAGTTCCCAGCAGTCAACCATCCACAATCTTTGGAAAGGAGATATTTGGGAATTTTAAGTGGTGTTATACTTGACCTTATGAAGGTACGAATGTTGCAATTGTTCTTCTGTCTTTTTATATTTCCAGTGGGCCTTACAGTATGCTGACGATTATAGCAAGTGTGTGTAATTTACTTTGTTCACCTTAAAGCATGACTGCTTCAAACATTTGTAGTGGTGGTGGCTCAAGTTCTGGAAAATATATTTTCTATTGGCACCTATTTTTATAATGTTTTCCTTTTGTCAGCTTGCTTTTGCTCATTTTATGTTGAAACAGCATAAATCACATATTAGAATGACGTAGAGCCAGGAACTTGATTTCTTTTTAGTCATTAACGGAATTTGTTAATATATTACCAAACATGGTCATTGGATCTGCAGATGTGTGGTTTATACCAATAAATACATTCTGTAGCTTATTGAAGTGTATGAATATACACAAGTATTTATGCGTTTTCAGACCAAGTGGTATTCATTAAGATATGGATAGGGAGATACATGGTTCCTGCTCTTTGAAGTAGCCCAAGTTCTAATTTGTAAAGTTGCCAGTATTACCAATCCTTATGACTTTCCCCAGCTGAAACATTAATGTACAGCTTGTAACTATACCTGTTTGTAGTGGGAAGGGTGTTAACAAAAGATTTGGAGACTTAACATTTTAGATTCAGAATTTGGAGATAACTATTTCCATGTTGTTGACAAATAGATTCAAATTGTGCATAATAATTTTGATATAATAAATATTAAACATATACTTCCTGTGTTTAATGCTGCACAGATCAGCATTGTTTCTTAAATATGAATTTCTGTTCTAAAGAACTTGCTGAAACTGGATCCAGCTGATCGATACTTGACCGAGCAGTGTCTGAACCACCCAGCATTCCAAACTCAGAGGCTCTTGGATCGGTCACCCTCCAGGTCAACTAAAAGAAAACCTTATCATGGAGATAGCAACACCTTATCCAACAGGTAAATGACTGTAAGTAATTACCAGTGCCAAAGTTATCAGTCTGTTATTGAGAAGAAGACTGATAAAGAAACAAAATAGGTCTAATTGAATAATACAATTGTTACATATAGAGTTTTTTCAACATCTATAGTGAACTTCCTAATGAAGTAGATGTAAATTGGTGTCTGCACACACATTTTACATTCCAATTGAAAAGGGCACTCCATTGCTATTGACACGAAACATAGATGTGCCTGTGACTCCTCTTAGTGTGTCTGTTAGGTAATTTTTATCCCCAAATTGTTTATATAAAAAACAAATCAAAATAGTACTCTCATTTTGATTTTTCATGTCCGTCTGGGGTTTGTGCATTTTGATTCTGAAAACCCTCTTTCTACTGCTGATTTAGAACAAATAGTTTAAATATTTCAGCACCAGTAAGTTCAAATCCATGCTGAGTGTTTTTACCTATACCAGATTTAAGTTGTAAGACACTTTATTAATCTAAATACCAAGATATTTATTCAAGGAGTTGAAATTAACAGGTTTTTTTGTGTGTTTTTGATACAGAAATCAAGCTAGCAAAGGCAGTGCTGTGCAGTCCCATCATAGATCCAACAGCAAAGATATAGGACTGCAAAGAGAAGAGGCTCTTCCAACAACTGAAAGCTTTCTAAATGGAAATCTTCCTGTAACTTCACATAGTCCTATGCTTTCCAAAAAGTCAAGCAATCCTCCTGGATCTGGAAGCAAGGATTTAGCAAATAATAACGTACCACATCTTTTGAGTCCAAAAGAAGCAAAGTCAAAAAATGAATTTGACTTTAGTTCGGATACCAAGGGTTCAGATGGTCCAGGTACAAAATATCTGAAGTCAAATTCCAGATCTCAACATAATCGTCATTCATTTATGGAAAGTTCCCAAAGCAAAACTGGTACACTGCAGCCAGGTGAAAGACACAGTCGTCACAGCTATATTGATACTATTCCTCAGTCTTCAAAAAGTCCCTCGTATCGAACCAAATCAAAAAGTCACGGGGCTCTGACGGATTCCAAATCTGTGGGTAACCTATCTGAGGCTAGAGTTCAAGTTGCAGAGCAAAACAACAGTAGATACTTCCCATCTAGCTGCGTGGACTTGAACTCTCCTACCACACCAACACCACCTCGCCATGCTGACAGCAGAACTTTGCTCAGTCCTTCTGGGAGAAATAACAGAAGTGACGGTACACTTGAATCCCGAAGGACATCTACAAGACATTCCAAAACCATGGAGGAGTTGAAAATGCCAGATCATATGGATGGAAGCCATTCACACTCTTTATCTGCTCCCCATGAATCTTTTTCTTATGGCCTAGGTTACACAAGTCCCTTTTCTTCTCAACAGCGCCCTCATAGACATTCTATGTATGTGAGCCGGGACAGAGTGAGGACAAAGGGCTCAGAGGGTGGCTTAAGCGTAGGGCAAGGGATGGCAGCCAGAGCAAACAGCCTGCAACTGTTATCTCCACAGGTGCAGCATAAGTCACTTACAAGGTCTGGTGGCTCTTCACGTGAAGACTGTACAGAAGATACAAACAGGGTTAGTTCACGTTATTGATTTAGAGGCATCTACACGCTGTCTGTCTAAATAAACTCCAGACAATCAAGTTATGTTGCTACATTATCTTAAAAAGGGTCATGTGATTTATAATTTTTTGAAATTGGGCTTAATAATGCTAAGTGATATGTATCATAAGAGTCTTTTCTGTTGAGATAACTCTCCAGAGAAGAGACCCGTGCTCTGAAGAGAGTTCTTGTTTCTGTGTTTCTTGGAATAATTGTTGAAATGAAATAGTAGATTCATTTTGATTTTGAGAAAAGAAACAGCAGATTTTAAGTGCAAAAATTGTAAGGTTTTCTATCATTGTCGTTTATCTATCTCTGATTTTGAAGAACAAAAGCTGGACCGCTGTGCCATTGGATTTAAATTTAGTAAAGGGTCCATTTGTTTTGCTCATAAAATTTACATAATTTATCCTTACAGGCCTCATAGCCAAGCAAGTGTAATACATACTATCAGCCTGCTTGATGTGTGACCTTTTTCCTTTGCGTTTAAATTATTTTGTCATGCCAAAAAACAAGACCTTTTCAAACATTTTATGGTCTCCATTCAACTTTGAACATTAGACATTATGTAAGACATCTCTCCCAATATGTTTTCCTCTGTAGAACCCAAGAATTTGTCAGCTTCATTCAGAGTCAACTAAATGATTTTCTATCATGAATGGGATTTAGGATTTCATTCTTCCTCTTTCCATGTATTTCCAGAGATTGATGATAGCTGTCAAAAGCTGAGTGAAGTGATGATGTTCATTCTTTCCCCTGCTGTCCACTTTTTAATAAAATGTCACTTATCTGTCATTTTTGCATTATAGATGTAGTGGGTCCTAAATGCTGCTTCTTGAATAATCAGATGCTCCTGCACACAAAAGCATTTTTTTTTAAAAAAAATCATTTTTATAAACAGACTGCTAGTGTAGAGCCTAATGTAGCCTAAAACAATGTGCAAGAACTAGCCTATAGACCAAGGGTGGAAAATTTGCAGGCTATGGTTCACATATAACTCCTATCGGCTGTTAGGAATTGTGGAAGTTGAAGTTCAAAACACCTGGAGGGCTGAAGTTTGCCCTTAGGATACGAAGTCATGCTATTTCCATTTATCGTGGAAAGTTAAATTTCATTTTAACAGATATTAATAAAAACAGACCAAGGTTTGCAGAGCTGTGAACTGCCATATTACTAAACAGGGCAGAATATCCAAGCTGTTTGGTTTAATAAATGTATTTTTTTCCTTTTTAAATGTAGGGTGGAGCTTACCATGATCAGCATCCAGATGATGGAACATCCACAAAAGAAAATAGAATTCTGTATAATGATTCGGTACCTAGAAGAGTCGGTAGCTTTTACAGAGGTACCCTTATTTAGTCAAGATTTTGGTTATAGTTTTAATAAAGTATATCTCCCATTTAACGAAGAATCTGATTTCACCATTTCCAGACAGAGAAATACACAATAAGTGGGGGAAACCTCATATCCTTTGAATTTAGGAAAGTCAGTAGTTTTTTTTCTCAAAGTTATTTCTCTCTACTCTTTTGCTTTAAGGTAGATGTGCAGGGCTTGGCAGCATCTTTAGACCCCGAAGGGTGCCTAAGAGACTCCATAGTGGAAATGCTCTATATAACATCAGAGGACAGGCTAGCTTGGCCACCAACATCTGGAGTGCCACAAATTCCTCACTGATCCAAATCTTATTCAAATAAGTTTAAAGTTCTTTGTGTTTAAATATATAACCAGCTTTCGCTGTTGATTACTTTGGTCACTCATAGGTCCCATGTGAATTTTTCAGATAAACTGAGAAATGGGATTGAAACATATAAACCAAAATTCTTTTCCTAGCCATATCTTGAGTAGACCCAGTGAAGCACAGGCATTTACATGGGTGTTGCTTTATCATTCAGTATTTGAATTAGTGCCTCTGTGTTGTGCTTGGAATTGGATTTAGTCTGTAGAGTCTTGCATGGACTACTGGAACCAAAGAACAATTAGGATGCTACATTAGAGAGTCACCTGAAAATGCTCAATACTTGTACAATCTTTTGATTCAATGTTAGGAGAAAAGTGGGATATTAATTGTGTGTGTGTGTGTGTGTGTGTATTATGATCACATAATGAATTCTATAATCACACATCTCCTGACTTTAGAATATATTTCTTACAGGGATTAGTGAGGATACTGCTAGATGTGATATCCTCAGATTTCCTTTCTCATTGTGGTACAAATGAGAAAGGAGCTCCAACAGCTGGATCATATATTCTCCCATACACACTTGCACACACATAGCAAAATATACCAAAAACACACACACACCCGCCCCGCCACTCCCAATATTGTCTTATGCTCTTTACCCCGTCTTTTTTCTTGTTTCCTCTGGATTTCCGGGTCTACTTCAATTCCATGACTCTATTGCTTGCATGATGCCCAGAGCTATTCTTGAAAATAAGGATGTTACTGGAGGACATTGAGCTCACAGCATGCCAGTTTCTCAACTTTTAAATTTTTAGAAGACTGGGGAGAGGGAGGTTAACAAAGGCACAAAATGGGTATTATTCAGGATTAAAGAGGCAACTATCAATAATAATAATAATAATAATAATAATAATAATAATAATAATAATAATATAGTAATAATAGTAATAATAATAACTTTATTTTTGTACCTCACCTCCATCTCCCCGAAGGGACTCAGGGTGGCTTACATATGACACAAAGTGCTTAAAAAGAATGCATAAAATAAGTACACAGTGCAATACAAAAAAAGTAAAATTAATAGCACATAAAAACAACAATTTGAAACTCAGAACAATGCCCAGTAACCTATGGATACTTAACAATTTGTTATTTCTTATTACAGTCCCATCTCCGCGCCCAGAAGGAACATTCCTAGATAATAGTGCCTCAAACAGAATACCATCACTACAGACAGAAAACAGTAGTGTAACAAGCCACTCAAAGAGACAAACTGCTTTTGATCCCTGGTAAGTTATAGAAATATAGCAAATGTTCACTTAATGTTTCCTAATGTCTTAAAACATTTACTTCTATGCATACCACTAATATTTCTTAGCAGGTCTATCTCAAGCAACAGTCAAACTATATGTAGTTTTCACAACATTAAGCAATTTCAATGTAATGCCAGCCATATGTTATTTATTTCTCAGAATTAATCCTAAATCACTTTTTCAGTTGAATCATTTTTCTTTTGTGTAAGCCTGCTTATTAATGCCTCTCTTGACTTGGTCCAAACACATTCTATTTTTCTTAACTGTGATTTAACTGTGATTTAAAGAAAAAACCAAATACCCTAATAATGGACATTCATCTGATTGCAACTGACAAGAAAATCATGGGGGAAAAATGGACTGTGGCAAGGCAATTCGTGTACGTAGGAATAGTAATCACAACCAAGTAGTTAAGATAGGGCTAAGGGAATTCTATGGAAAATGAAGAAACACTTTTTAGCAACATACACACTAAGTATAGCTGTATTAAGGTTTTCTGAGCAAGATGGATTAGGACTGTGTTGAATGTTCTCCAGAAAGGAGAAGATTTTAATTGCTCTCCTCCTGCCACTGCCACTCTTATCCTGAATCAATGCTTGTATTTCTTTGATATCTAAACTAGATCACTTCATCCGTTTCCACAGCCTACTCCATTGATCAAATGTCCTTTTTTCTTTTGCATCTCTTAAATCATGCTGGGTCATCTTGATTTGGTGAAATCCTTGCTTGACACTCAGTTTCTCCCACATGGTCCCTTCTGCACCATTCCTATCATCTACCAAGCTATTCTGTCTTGCCTTTCTGTAGTTTCAGATTCCTCTCACTTTTAGCCTGATTTACTCAGCTGACACTAATCTCAGAAAGTTTTCAAACAACATTCTTAAGATGTTTCTCGGTCATCATTTTTTAAAACCTGTCTGTCCCCTTTCACATACCACTTCCTCAACACTGAGAAACAAAGTAGATGTGACATTAGTTGTGCAATTGATCATTGTGCATATTTTTATAAAGTAAATAGCACCCATTAGAAGAAGGGAACTTTGAGGTCAGGATTTGACTCCAGTGTGGCCCCAGTCAAACAACCTGCTCTTGTGACTTGTCTTTCCTGTTTTTAAAAAGCTTCTATAAAGGTAACTTCGTATTTTAAACTGAGTCATTTTGACATTTGGAATTAAAGTCCACTAATAATAATAAAACTTTATTTATACCCCAACACCATCTCCCTGACGGGGACTCAGGGCGGCTAACATGGGACCACTCCCTTGCATATTGCTTTAGTTTCCAGTTTTCTTGTCCTAACCTTTTAGCTATTATTTCCTTAAAATTAATGCTATCACTTTGGATTTACCAATACTGAATGATATTTTATTTTTATTTGTACCACAGTATGTGACATGACAACTATTTATTTATTTATTTATTTATTTATTTATTTATTTATTTATCGTATCAGGAGCGAACCAAGGGTACAGTTGTAATGTTTTTAAAACACACACACACACACAAAGTTTAAAAACTTGGCATTATGCTAAATGTCCTTTGACCAGTAACTGGCCACTTGAAGTGCCTCTGGTGTTGCTATAAGAGGGTCCTCCATTGTGCATGTGGCAGGACTCAGACTGCATTGTAGTAGGTGGTCTGTGATTTGCTCTTCTCCACACTCACGTGTGCGCTCCACTTTGTGGACTCATTTCTTAAGGTTAACTCTGCATTTCGTGGTGCCAGAGTGCAGTCTGTTCAGCGTCTTCCAAGTCGCCCAGTCTTCTGTGTGCCCAGGAAGAAGTCTCTCATTTGGTATCAGCCATGGATTGAGGTTCCGGGTTTTAGCCTGCCACTTTAGGACTCTCACTTGCTGAGGTCTTCTTGCGAGTATCTTTGTAGGTCTTAGAAAACTATTCCTTGACTTTAGGCACTGTCATGACAACTAACCAAAATACACTTTAAAAAAAAGGGAGGGAGGCTGTGAGGGAAAATAATGCATCAAGAGCCCGGGGTTTGTCTCTGAGAGAATTGAGACAGGATATAGAACTGACAGTGGCAGGACTTTGAGCTGTAAGATGCAAGGATTTCAGCTGAAGTAGAAATTGATTTGAGATAGAAGGTAGAACTGCCTATGGTTTGGGGAAGCTTAAAGATCAGAATATTGCAATTTATTACATTTTATACTGTGCCTAATAAACATATTCCAGTTGCTGTTATTAGACCTGTCTCTGGCTCTCTAGAAAGACAGAACTAGAGTCATAGAATCATAGAGTAATAGCGTTGGAAGAAACCACATAGGCCATCTAGTACAACCATCTGCAGTGCAGAAAAAGCACAATCAAAGCACCCCTGACAGATGGCCATCCAATCTCTCTTTGAAAGCCTCCAAGGAAGGAGCTTCCACCACACTCCAAGGCAGAGAGTTCCACTGCTGAACAGTTTTCATGGTCAGCTCCTAATATTAAGGTGGAATCTCCTTACCTGTAATTTGAACTCATTACTCCAAGTCCTGGTTTCCAGGCATCAGAAAACAAGCCTGCTCCCTCTTCTTTATGACAGCCTTTCAAATATTTAAACATGGCTATCACGTCTCCTCCCAGTCTTCTCTTCTGCAGACTAAACATCCCCAGCTCTTTAAACCCCACTCCTCATACAGAATGGTCTTCAGACCTTTTAGTTGCCCTCTTCTGGACATCTTCCAGCTTGTCAATATCTCTTTTAAACTGTGGTGCCCAGAACTGGACACAGTATTCCAAGTGGAATCTAGCCAAGGCAGGATAGAGGGGCATTGTTGGTTCATATTCAACTTGTTGTCCACAGAGACTCTTTTTCATATGGACTGTTGTCGAGCCAGGAATCACCCATTCTGTATCTGTGCATTTCATTTTTTCTCCCTAAGTGAAGTATCCTACACTACTCATTGATATTCATTTTGTTAATTTTGGCCTAGCTCTCTAATGTGTTGAGGTTATTTTGAATTCTGATCCTGTTTTCTGGAGTATTAACTATTCCTCCCAATTTGGTGTCATCTTCAAACTTGATAAGCACACCCTCTAAAGCAGGTGTCCTCAAGCTAAGGCCCGGGGGCTGGATGTGGCCCTCCAAGGTCATTTATTTGGCCCTCACTCAGGTTCAACCTAAGTCTGAAATGACTTGAAAACACACAACAACAACAACAACAACAACAACAACAACAACAACAACAACAACAACAACAGCAGCAACAACAACAATAACAATCCTATCTCAGCAGTCAAAAGCAGGCCCAAACTTCCCATTGAAATATTAATAAGTTTATATTTGTTAAAATTGTTAATTATTGTATTGCTTTTAAGTGTTTTTTGCACTACAAATAAGATATGTGCAATGTGCACAGGAATTCATTCATGCTTTTTTCAAATTATAATCCGGCCCTCCAACAGTTTGAGGCCCTGTGACCTGGCCCTCTGTTTAAAAAGTTTGAGGACTCCTGCTCTAAACCTTCATTTAATTAATAAAGATGTTGAACAGCACTGGGCCTAGGACAGAACACTCCAGTCATCACAGGATGAAGAGTAACCATTGGTGAGCACCCTGCGGGTTCACTCACTTAACCAATTGCAAATACACCTAACAGTAGTATTATCTAGCCCACATTTGACTAGTTTGTTTGCAAGTCAATCCTTCATTTAAAAAAAAAAACCCCACACAGCTAGAAGGCCACATTTAAGAGGCCACTGTGAGACGCAGTAACCCAATCCAGCAAATAATAATTTATATAAATGTTTATATATTCCGTCTTATTCTTGTAACATCTCCACTTCTCCCAGTTAATTTGTAAGATTGTGCAGTGTGTACTAAAATTGTTTTGTGTGTGTGTTGTTTTAAGGAAAAGTCCTGAAAATGTTCATTCAGAACAAATGAAGGAAAAGGAAAAGCAAGGATTTTTCAGGTCAATGAAAAAGAAAAAAAAGAAATCTCAATCTGTAAGTATTTACGTTGGTTCCTAAAATTTGTAATGTTGATAGATACAACTATTCATAGACTCTGTGTCTGCGTGGCCTATGAATTTAGTGACACACATATGGGGATAAAGCTTTTCTTTATTAGTTTTAAGATCAAGATATTTACTCTTATTAATATACACATGCAGTGAGGGTTCTCGTGGTTCCACCACAGTCACGGCATAGTTCGTTGGGACATGTCAGAGGGTTTTTTTGGCTGCCACTCCCATGTTGTGGCATTATTTCCCATGGGATTATTAGGATGGCATCCCTCTCTGCTCTTCTTCCATCAACACTCACTTTCTTATTCAGAAAGGTTTTTGACTATTAGCTTGTTATTCCAGATAGTTTTGGGTGGGTGTATCTTTTACTCTTATAGTTATTATTGTGATTTAAATTTTAAGCTATTTTAAATTAGTGCTGTTTTAGTATATTTTGAACAGAATAACATTGAAATTCTATTGAATGTTTTTACTCTACCCAAGCATTAGCCACTGTATGCTTCTGCCAAAATTGGATAGACTTCATGTTACGGCTTCATACTTTCTGAAATTTTAATCTAATGGCCATTCCAAAATCTGCTATTGCTTGGATACCACAAGTCACAATTACAGTAGTTACCATTATCTGTTATTATGATATTTAATGTTTTCTCATGTCAACTCTATATCTGTTAAACTACCTGCATACCTTTGCCATTTTTGCCAAGCCAATATTGTTTCATGAGCAGTACTGCTATACTCAATCATGGGATGCAACCATGAGTTTTAAAAAACTTCCACAAAAGCATTTGGGGCTCTGAAATGAATTGAACAGTAGATAATACTGATAGAAATAATTTTCTGTTTAGATTTTTTAAAAAGAAAAACAACAGAAAGGCATTAAACCTAAACGTAAATCTTCATTTATGACATTTGGATAGTACATAGTCTAATCTAGGTAGTAGCTCTCTGCTACTGTCTACTACCATGCTAGATCAGCATACATCAGGGAGATCTACATTAAGGTGACTTCTGGGGAACACAACACTCTTGTTGATATTAGGTCAGTCTTTCTCTTCCTAAACTACAGTTATTGTGATGGTAAAACTGAAGAGAGAGAAAATGTATACAGAAGCCACAAATTCTCTGCAATTCCTTTCACTGCTTTCTAAAGCTAGCTATAGTGTCAGTTGTGTTTAATGGTAAAAACAAGGAGACTTTGGAGCACAAAATAAATCTTTATAGAGCAACTGAAAAACAGCATTCAAAATTTCTGCTACACAGTTGTCCTTGAGTATTGCTGCCATTAAAAGAAAATTGCATGAAAAGAGGGTTTTTTACATTATGAATAAAGTGTATTATTTTCACTTTGGGTTGCATGGAAAGTCAGCCAATAAAGATTCTGTTAATGTTGGAAATAGCAGTCTCCCAAGATTTCACTGTTCTTTTGTTAATGTATATATTTGCTAACCTGCATTCTATTTGTATGTTGATTTGCCAGTTTGACTTACCTCTGGTGTGGGAGGGTTATAGACATGTGATTATACTGAGTATGTTCAGACTCAGGACTTGATTTTGCTTACCACCTCATTGGATGCATGTTTACATCAGACCTCACTGGAGGTGGATGCATGTATGTGTTTTAATGAAAGCAGTTGCTGTTTGGACTTCAATAGATGCATGTATGCTTATGGACTTCAGTGAATACAGCTATACCTAAAGACTATCTGTTATTGATAAGGAATGATATCCTGTGTAGTCAACACAGAGAGAAACCTACATCCTATCTACAACTGAACTTTAATAAGAAATGTGTCTGTATGGTTAATTAATACAAGATGTTTATGAGTAAACAAGATATGTTATTTTTCAAAGAAGACTTTGTTTTTTTTATCACTGAGTGCATATTTTAAACTAAGAGGTTTCAAGGGAGTGTATATCTTTTGGGCAATTGCAACTGCAAATTACAACTTCAAAGAAACAACCATCCTCTGCTAACCAAATATATTTTTGTAGTGGCATGTCTTTATTTTTGGCAGTTTAAATACATGGTTCTTCAGTTTAGCAGCTGAGTTACCTGTGTGCCATTACATGAATGCTTGTGAATATCACTTGTTCAGAGAGTTGACTTTTAACAAGGTCATGCTTTTCTTCAAAAGGCGGTCTCTATGTTCATGGAGATTCAAACAGATGTGACATCATTTTTATCTTTTCTATAAGGTTGTGGTACAATTATTTCCAATAGGTTATGGAATTTCCAATAGTTAATACTGCAGCTGTGATCACAGTTGCTGTGCTAAATGTATACATTCATTAACTATATATATTTCTGATAAAACATTTCAATTATACTAAGTGTACAGGTAATCCTAAAGGACTTTTTCCATAAGCATTTTCTTGTTTACTAGAGTAATTAATCTTTTTCTTAATACAATGACAGAATGGCAGATTCAGTGTGAGAAACTACTAACTTATAAAAGCATTCATGTATTTTCAGATAAGAAACATGTGTAGCTCTTGAATTAGAGTTATTTATGCAAATAGATTTTGTATCTTATATTGCAGACAGAATTCATCAAGGCGGAGAATCCAAGCATCAAGAAATCTCTCTTTCCTCTATTTAATTCAAAGAGTCACTTAAAGCATAGCTCTTCTTTGAAAAAGATTCCTGTGGTCACTCTCCCTATGGTATTAACTTTTAAGAATGGTAGCACTGAATAAAAACGCTCCAGTATATTTTACTGACCACAAGAGCATGTACTATTTTATCCCACGGGGCCACAGACTCTTCATTCAAATTAAGCATTCTGAGCCAATTCCACAAATTTAAAGATTGAGGGTTAAATAGTTTATTTTTCAGTACCTTATAGTATGGAATATTGGCAATAGATATTTTTAATAAACCCTTAAAGATATCGTCCTCTGGTTCAGTAAATGACTTCTTACCCTGTCTGTGAGATTCAGATGTACATTTCTTGGTAGAGTCCTACTGATTATGTGGTTTGTCCTTTATTCCCCTTCGTTTGAATTAAAATAAGAGACTTCATTTAAAATAAATCATTATTTTCTAGATTTCTGGTAGGGAACACAGCCTTTATTTTTGGTTTGTTTGGTGGTGATCACCTATGTAGAATTGCTATCTATTTGCAAAATAAAGGCTTAACAAAGAGACCACATATACATTTAATGGTTTACTAGCATTTAATCCTAAACTTAATTTGCTGAGAAATCTGGCTAACAATCCCCATCACCGCATTATAAATCTACAGTACTAATATTAGAACCAACAACTAGTTAATTTAACCTGTGTTTTTTTCCCCAACAGCTAACTTGTATTTACTTAGCTGTTTTATGTATAAATATCTAGTTTTAGTCTACAGTTTCATTTTTTGGGTTCTTAGGGGATAGATAACCTGACAGCCTGATAACTAAATTTGCACTCTGATGCTCTGTCTTTAGAAAAACAACCCTCTTTTTAATTTTTCCCCATATTTTATTTGTGAAAGTGGCTCTGGATCTTAAGTGCAAAACAGAATGTTGTGGGAACAAGGATGAAGCACAGCAATGCAATTACTTAACTGCTCTCTCTCTCTCTTACTGTGATTTGACTAACAGCATGTGAATGCCTTAAGGTGCAGGTCATAACAAATTTGCATGGCATCTATCTAAAAATACGATAGTTAATATGGAGGTCCTTTAAAAGGGTATTAAAGTAATGGGTTTCACCTGCATTGCTTTGATCTGGGAGCCAATCGTAAGAGGGGAATCTTAAGAGTATTTGTTTACAAGAATTGATTAGTGCCCAACATTTTTCTGTGTTGCAGATGCCTGGAAGTGACAATCAGGATCTTTTGTCACTACAGAAAGCTATTCATTCATCTAATCACCCATCCAACAGACAGAAGGATTGGCATTCTGAGAAGATGGCAGAAATCCAAAGTCATGTGAGTGAGGTTATTGCTTCATTCTGTTCTGTGATCATTGAACGTCTTCTAACAGTAGATCTAGAGGCCTGTTTGTGAGTCAGAATGTCTTCATAATTTTAAATTTGAGACGAAATAGAAATAGCAGGTTGTTCAGGCCACATCCCATCCTTATCTTCATTCTTAACACATAGGACTAGGCAAGTAACTACGCAGAACCAGTGTGACAAATAATCAAAGCAAGATAAATGTGAGGAGAATTTTGATTATTAATACCTGCTGGATTTAATACAACCATTAAATGGACAGGAAAGAACCCTCTTCAGTTTTCACTCTACCAACTCTAAAAGAGATATAGTTGCCTTCTTTCCTTCTGAATTCATCTATAATGGATGTAGTGACCACAGTGGCTGTCCACGGAGCCACTTTCCAATTAACGCCACTGATGAGACTAGAGATAGTACTCAGCAGTTGCTTAAAAGCAAATCAAAGGGTTGCAGGCTCCACAATGCAATGACTGGAACAGTAATTAATTGCATAACAGGTGAAGGAGAAACAGTTCCCTGGACCCGATACAGTTATGGGGAAATTTCATGGAGTGCTATAGTAATATGTGGAGCTAAAAGGGCTCTCCCCTTGCCTTCATTGCTATAACATGGCTTTTCCTAACAAGAACTTCCCTTGTTGCATCTGCTGCAGCAAAGTATTACCTTCTGTTTTATGCCTTGTTGGCTCGGAAAGCAGGTTATACAAAGAAAATAGTTTACAGGTTTTTTATCAGCCTTCTCTAATAGCCACTCCACTTGTAATTTAAATATATGATTTGTTTCTACTGTATTTGATACTCCCCTTAGGATGCATAGAAATTGTGCCAGTCTAAAATACTGCTTTTCTTCCTGTGTTAAGCATAGATAATTAACAGTCACAAGCTAGAGGTGCTGGCATGCCATTAGGTACAATTGTTTCTCCTGCTCAGAAGTGTCAGCCCTCTCCTAGACTAGATAAGAAAGCAGGAAAGACTACAGTTTTGTATTAAAAGAAGTATCAGCTAAATCAAATTGTAACAAAAACTGTGTAAAATTGATTTTCAGAAAATCTGAGCTTAGGAATGAAGGACAACTGATACAATTTCTGTCAGAAATGTACATCAACACTGTTTAAACCTCATTGTACTGTGATTACATATTATTTATTATTTATATATTTTATTACTGCATTGTATTATTATATATTTGCCCTGAGTCCTCTCAGGAGATAGGGCAGAATATAAATAAAGTATTATTATTATTATTATTATTATTATTATTATTATTATAAATCTGCATTGTCTTTGTTTTGAAAAGAAATACTCATCTTAATAATAAGTAATCTAGAGAAACAAGACCATTGGGCAGAAATTAATAAAATGTAATTCCATAGAGAGAAAGGCAAAGTTCTACATTTTGCCCAAAAAAATGTACACAAATCCACAGATACAGAATGGGGAGTACATAGCTCAGCAGACCTTCAAATTATTGCTTTTCATCAGCAGAGTGATGCTACAGCAAAGAAGGGAAATGCTATATAAGTCTGTATTAATAGAAGCATAGTTTCCAAGCTGAGGGAAGTAATAGTTTCACTGTATTCTGTGGTGTGGTCAGTCATCATATTCAGTTCTGGTCACCTCATTTTAAGAAGGTTATAGACAGATTAGAGCAGGCTCAGAAAAGGACAACCAGGATGATAAGATATTTGAATAACGGACATGTGAGGAAAAGATGAAGGAGCTGGGCATGTTCAGTTCAATGAAGAGATGACTGAGACATCTTTGCCCTCTTTAAATAATTCAAGGGTTGTCACAGATCAGGCCTGTTCTATGTGCCCCTGGACGATAGGGGCATCTCTGATGGTCAAGGGAGAACAGACTTTGATGGAACGTTAGAAGGAACTTCTTGGCAGCAAACCGAATTGGCTTAAAGATGGTGGAATCCCTTTCTCTAGACCACTGGTTCTCAATCTGTGGGTCCCCAGGTGTTTTGGCCTACAACTCCCAGAAATCCCAGCCAGTTTTCCGGCTGTTTGGATTCCTGGGAGTTGAAGGCCAAAACATCTAGGGATCCATAGGCTGAGAAGCACTGTTCTAGATATTGTCAGAAAGAGAATGGACAATGGCCAGACAATGCTATATAAGTCTGCTCTAGCTGGAAATCTTGCATTAAGCAGAGTTTGGACTGGATGGCTCCTGAGACTCCTTATAACTCTGTGATTCTATGAATCCATGACTCTGACAACTTTCAGAAGCATCATTGAACAATTGTCCCCTTGGCTGTACAAATAAATAAAATGATGGTGTTGGGAATGAGAATGGCAAAAAAAAGAGATGTAGCAATGAATGTCACTTTTTTCTCTCCTTTACCTTTCAGAGCCAGCCTTTAAAGTCTCTTCGCAAGCTGTTACACCTTTCCTCTTCCTCAAATCATTCAATTCCTTCTGACCCCAGATTCCAGCCCCTACAGAGCCAGCCAGCTAAGACTTCTTTTTCTGAAGTCCGAATTCATCCTATAAGTCAAGCTTCTGGCACTAGCAGTAGCAGCAACATGCGACAAGAGTCCCAGTCAAAAGGCAGAACGAGTCTCCAGATCCCGAGCCAGATGGATCCCAGTTGGCATGTTTCCCCAGTGAACAGGAGTGCCAGCGATGGGCCTTCATACCCTGATCAAATGCCTTCAAAGAGTGGGCAGAATGGGCATACTTATAACCGAACAAACCGATCTCGAATGCCAAACCTGAATGATTTAAAAGAGACTGCTTTGTAATAATACTCCGGGGAATGCTGTTGTAGGGATTTACCTAGGGGTATAGCGGTGCTGGTGATTGTGGTGGAGACTGAATTCTCAGCAGTATAAAAGGTGTGCAATATATGGAATATATGGAGCTGTCATTCAGTTCCACTTCAGTAGAGATCTTACAGTGAAATGAACTTTATTAATTGCCATTCATCTAAACTCATGACAGAAGAATGTGCACTTCAGGGAGAATGAACTGTGTGCCCTTTTCTCTCATTTACATTCCAGCCTAGTGCACATCTGTCTCAAAGCTGTATAGGCACTTTGGGAAGTTAAAAGAGATGTCTTACGCCCTTATGAAAAACTTTTTTGCTGCCTAGATTTTAAAAAGAAAAAAATTAAATAGCGTTTATGTGATACACTGGTATTCCTAATAAGGGTTTAAAGTTCAGTTGTATGTCTTCATTTTTTTATCTTCCATATTTGATAGGATTTGTAATCTTTATTTATGATTTATTATTGTATTGTTATAATCATATCTTATGTTACTATGTAAAGTTATTTTGAGCTGTTTGAAACATTGTGATGCGGTGCAGCAGCTATAGTAGTTTCTATTAAAACTAACTAACCTATATTGCATCAGGAGCATTTTTATTTTATATATATAAATATATAAAATAAAATAATATATATAAAATATATAGTAAATAACTGTCTTTTTAAAAATATACTCATTTAAAATAAAAGTATTGTTATGACACTCTCTGCCATATTTTTATACATTTGTGATATAAAGTGCAGTATTATACTTCTAATTTAAAGGGAGCAGAATGTGAACTGAAATACGACCATAATGATACGAATTTTTTTCCATTATATAAAGTGACATAGGGTTGTATCCAGTAATGTCCCTCCACTGCTGACAGGTTCTAGGATCCATTCAAGACTTCTATTTATATAATGGGGGTGAAGGTTATTTTTGCTGCTTCCCATTCTCCTCTGAAACCTGTCTCCTTTTCTATCTGACTCATGTAGACTCTGGTCAGCCTACACAACCTGCAACCCTCCAGGTCTTTGGCACTTCAACTCCCATAAGCCCTAGTCAGCTTGTCCAGTGGCCAGGAATTCTGGGAGCTGAAGTCCACAACACCTGGAGGGCCGCAGTTGTGCAGGCCTGCTCTTTGGAGGTGACATGGAGAACTGTGTGGGTAAGGGAATGCAGGTGAAAATCATCCCCTTCCCTGTTTCAATGAAAGAGCCTTACATCAGTTGAAGGACATAATTGGATACCCTATTGGTAACAAAATACAACAGTGAACCTAAGACTTTATTATTGGCCTTTCCCCCCACTGGAGGTCATAGCTTAAATGTATCAAGCTATGTAACCACGAAGTCTTATAAAATGTGGGTATTTTCCCCCCTAAGTCTGTGCTTACCTTTCCCCATTGTGTTGATGGAAGATAAATATCTGTGTTATGATGACATAAGAATCCCACTCTCTCCATCTGGGAAAAAACAACCCGCGGTGAGCAGATGACCTTCCATTCAATACATGGTGTGAAGACCAAAGAGCCACAGCATGAGATGCAAGTGGCAAGCCAAAGTTGGCATGACGCAGCACTGTAAATCATGGTATAAGGTTTTAAGCCTATGTATATTCTTTGCACTTTGTTTGAAATTGTACTACACAGACAGTAAAATATTGTATTTAAATGTAAGAGAGGCTGTGGCACTTCCATTTTGTTTCTAGGATTTAATTTTTAAGAGCCCTGTAACATTGGTATTTGAATACGGAAAGAATCAGTTTCTGCTGAAATGTAGTATTTCCCCTATATCACTTATAAGAATATTTCTGTCAACTTTAAAGCTGGATTTTTCTAATTATCTATAGAATGTTATTAAATTATTAAAATAACTTTAAAAAGTGGACTTACAATATAGTATATGTAATATTCCATTTGCTTACAATTACTATGACTCAGGAAAAAGACAATTGGAAAAAACATCATCCCATTATGTAACTGGAATAAACTGAGGCAGGGGGAGAGGGGGAGGATGGGGAAAATGTCAGAATAATATATCTTAAATCATTAAACCTTCACAACATCTTTTTTCTTGCCATTTATATGTTTTTCGTTCCAAAATTCACCTGGAGAGCAAAGAGTATACTGGTGTTATATAACTATTTAGTACCTCACTAAGTTAAGAAAGATGTATTCCAGTATTTCACAATATGATAAAAGTTGCAATAGATGTGATATGTTAAACACAAATGCGCACATAACTAGCAGACTTCTTTAGTAGGAACACAGTATTTCTTCCATTACAAAATCAGTTGCAAGACTATGAATGTATCTGTTTTCCTATTGAGAAAACAGGTATCATAACAATACATAATAGTGAGCAGATGGAGTTATCTATGGAAGGACAATGGAAAATATGCATTAGCATGCAAGAGCTTGCTTATTAACTGGTGATCAGTCCATCTAATCATTCACATAGTATCTTTTGTGATCTTATAGATTTTGTAGTAAGCCCCTACTGTTTCTAACTTTTTAATCAAATTTTCCATAAAGAATTCTTAATTTCGCTTTGAGACTTGGATTCTAAGCAGTACTGTCTGAATTTCATAAATTATATTCTGTTACAGAATAATAGTTCTTACCTTGCTTGCCATTTGCATATTTATTTTTAACACTCTTGATTTGGGAGGGCCTTTAACCAAAACTATTTAGGATTAGATGACGTATATTATAGAGCAGTGCATTTAGATGTTTAAACTGAGCCACTTTAAAACATAAACTTCCATATGGATTTTTCCATGGTTCAAAAAGGAAAACATCCCTATTCAACCTATTAATAGAAAAAGCCTTCTCTCAGAAGCCTCCCACTCAATCTGGTTTACATATCCGAGAGTTGTAAATATGCTAAGAAGTTTAAAAAATCTTATTAGACTAATGGAGATTTGTCAGCTTCGCAAGAAGAGCAAAGCCTATTATACATTAAAGAAGTATTTGAGTGTGAGCTTTTTTCTTCACTGAGATTAGAGGAATAATTTGCTGTAGCTTTACCAAGGATAGAGCCGCTAAGCATTAGTTATCTTTTTCTCTTTCTGATGGCACTTCTAATATCAAGACTTGGATGGGTAATGGATGTTACTAAACACAGCATACATGTTTCTATGGATATTTAGGGATATTAATTGGGAGAAGAAAGCCTTGCTTAATCAACTGACTTATGAAAGATAGTTTGATATTTTTCAAAAAATGATATTGCCTTAGTGGACAGTTTTGCAAAAGTCTCCTTATTCCTATACAGATATACTACAATCTGCCTTAAAAGCTGCTCAAAATTAGCTTTGGTTTCTAAATCTTGTGTGTATTTTGTGAGTTTTCTTGCATAAAAATTTATACATTTTCTGTTAACTTTTTTCTGCCATGCTTTTTAAAAAATATATGTCTGAACCTATTAACAGTGTATTTTGAGCAGCAGACAAGATTGTACAATTTGGGGGAAGAGAAATAGTAACTGTCATTCCAAATTTCATCAATCCTTTGCAGACATTTCAACCCAAGACCTCAGTATATTATTTTCAGGTGTTTAACAGGTTTTATTTTTAGTTACACAAATCCAAAGCTTTCCATTTCTGTGCTTCTAAAGCCTTTCATAATATTGAGGTCAGCTCCTCCAACCACATCCACCGATATTTTTTTTTAAAAAGCATCATTCGGACTTTTTCCAAACCAAAGGTCAGAAGGGTGATGAAACTCAAAGCGACACAGATACTTCTTATTTCATTTGGCCTTCCTATAAAAGCCCTTTTAATGCAAAATGTATTCTCTTCCCCCTTTCGCTTATTTCTCCAGCCCTCAAGAGTGAGTAATCCGCAGTGGTAACTACACAATTCCAGTTGCCTTAATTGCATTCAGTGTTTATTTTCGTACTATATGGTGATTCTCCTAAAAGTCATGATACCATAATGATTCCCCTCCCCAAAATTCTAAAATAGTGAAGACGGAAGAAGAAACAGAAATTAATTTCAATTTTCAAAACTGTTCTGATCCATGGTTGTGCAATTGGAAGAGAAAAAGTATGTCTGTTACAGCTCTTTTAGTTGAGTATTGCCTATTTTGTATTAGAGACAGAATGATGAAAATTCAGCCAGACATTTGCCTATAACATTCTTAGAGGAGAATGTGAATGTGTAGTCTGACTTTTTTTTCCTATAACCATAATGCTGTGACAAAGTTTTCTGCTTGTTTTTAGTATTAATAACTATATATTCAGGCGCTAGGCAAGCAACCTGCAGAACTTTACTTTGGTTCATTGTACCAAATGTCTATACTATAGTTAACGGAGGTAGGCCTATTGTGTATAGTCCAGGAAGTGTTACAAGAGTTTATTTAAAAACCTGATCACATCCTAAAATCTGAATTAAGTCATGCTATTATTCTATAAACTCTGTTGTTCATCACCTAAGTTCATTCTCTTCTGTTATTTGTGTCCATACTGACTTTCTCATACATTAGAATTAGTAGCAAATGGCGGTAATGGGGTGGGGTAGTGATGATATTTTTCTAATCTAGCAAATGGTTAGAGACTTTTAGTTCAACATAGTTGCTTTTAGGACAAAGTAACATATCCCCATTCGCTTCATTCAGCTGTTATGACAACCCTTGAGCCTTCATTATGTGCATTCACTAAACCACGTTTAGAATAAAAATCCCATAAAAACAATATTGACTATTGATGGGGTCCTTTTGTACTGGAATCTGAATGACTGAGAGTTTATGTCTGAATCAAGTTTTTAATACAGATCTTTCAAAAACAATGAATGAGTATTGGTGCCTCCTTCCTCAGAAATAATCTAGTAAATGTTGGTAATGGTCTTTCATGGAGTCGGTTTGGCATCCTGGATGGTTAGGGGCCTCCTGTGGATGTATGCTCCAGAAAACAGGGGCTGCTCAGAATGGGGATCCTGCTCTTCTTTTGCAACCTCCTTGATTACTTGCTCTGGGCCAAATCATTGTATTAATGAGAATGAAGAGTCATTGATGTATTGTCAAAGGCTTTCATGGCCGGAATCACTGGGCTGTTGTGAGTTTTCCGGGCTGTATGGCCATGTGCCAGAAGCATTCTCTCCTGATGTTTCAGCTGCATTTATGGTAGGCATCTCAGAGATTGTGAGGTCTGGAAAATGGGGTTTATATATCTGTGGTATGTCCAGGGTGGGAGAAAAAACTCTTGTCTGTTTGAGGCAGGCGTAAAGGTTTTAATTGGCCACCTTGATTAGCATTTAATGGCATATCTGTTTCAAGGTCTGGCTTCTTACTGCCTGATTAGCTTGTCCTGATTGTTTCTTGTCTGGAATTCCCCTGTTTTTTAGTGTTATTTTTTATTTACTGTTATGATTTTAGAGTTTGTAAATACTTTTTAATTCCACAGATATATAAACCTCATTTTCCTAGTTTCCAACAGACATTGCACCCTCTGAGGACGCCTGCCATAAATGCAGGCGACACATCAGGAGAGAATGCTTCTGGAAAATGGACATATAGCCTGGAAAACTCACAACAACCCAGAGTAATTGGTGCCCCTGCTTACTTACTCCTTGGCTGCTTACCTTCCAGTGGGCGACTCCTAGAAATAATGAGAAGAAGGAATAATAACATCTGGGACAATGGCAGTGAGAAGGTAAACTCACAAAGGGAGGAAAGCCTTTGCCAGGGTCTTGCCCAAATTGCTGTCAAAAACCTGAAACCATCACTATGCCTTTCAATTAAGAATCTATGGCTGCTTCTGGAAAATGTAGGTCTTGTTCAAGTAGCCTGATCAGCAGTTGAAACAGCCCCCCCCCCCCCCCCAAATATGGTTAATACTATTGACCTTCCACATTGGAGATTAGGGCACCCTGCAAAAACATGAATATAAAAATTATAAAATATTTTTTTAAAATCTGAGAAAACACTTCCTAGGCATTTCTAGGTCCCACAGCAAGATTATATGGTCAACCTCTGGCAAAAGTGGACCATGGAAGCATGCTGGAGAAGCTAGAGGTGCCTAGAGAATTGCTGGTATTCTCTCAAGGAATAAAAATAGCATTTACAATATTTATTCATACAGCAACACAGTAATTTGAATAATCACATTTATGAAGGCATAACTCACAAATGTAGGGGGACGACTGTGTTACTAAATGCATAGTTAAGTGGTTATTCAGCCATTCCTACTAGCTGTTGGCACTTGATTTGCACTTGTCCTGTTTGTGATCAAATAGCCTATTAATGAAAATATGAAAAGTAAATAAGAACAGTAGTCATTTCATTTAGATTTTGAATAGTGTTTCCAGTGGTAAAACAGCTCAGTACTTACATCACTTTGAAGTCTTCCTTTATTTCTTTTGCATTTATTTATTTGGATGGTGTTTTAGCTACTGGGTTGCCTTTTTTTTTCCTCCAGGGAAAGTAATCAAGGAGATTATTTACTGACATAGTTTTAGAAAAATGTTGTTGGTATTGATCAGAGTGTTCACTTGCTTGGTTTTTCCAGAAGGAAAAAAAATGCTTCAGTGAATTCGTTTTTGTACAAGGTGTTTGTCTTTTTTCTGCATCAAAATATGGTTCACTGGGTGGAATTCAGACAATAATATGGCTTGGAATGCTAGGATGTCTTATTTCTTTGCCCCCCTCTGCCCACACACTGTTTAGGAAGAAACAAT